CGCACAAATAGTACGTAAGCTCAGTGCTAATTCCATTGAATCCAATGAATAACTGTTCAGTGATGGACAGTAATTTATGATGAGTTTAGGATCGACTTGATGGATTTCAGCGGATAGAAAATTAATTTGAATCGAAACAGAAACTATTAAATTCAGCATCTCTAAAGCCTAGTACACACTAGTAGACATTGTAGAGCGATTTGTCTGTAGACAGTCTTGAGACGGTCTAAAGACACCGTTTGGTCTATAGACAGTTGCCTATGTCTTCGCAAATTGAAAATTAGCAGTTCCTTAGTTTTTGTGGTAGTTGACTTCGGATTATTGTCCTACTGGAACACATATTGGTCCCCAATTTCCTTCTTTGTGGCATTTAATTGTAGGTTACGGTTAATTTTTTACATAGTGCTCAGCATTCAAATTTTCAACATAGATACAGAGTTTCCCATTCCAGGGTATAAAACACATCCCTACACCAAAACATGACCAACACCATGTTTTATAGCGATGGAAACATTTTGCTTTTTCAGTTTCAACTTTCGCCACCGCCACTAGCGGATTCCGGATTTAATTTGGAGGGGGAGGGGCTTCAGCCCGAAAGATTTTTTTTCATAAAAATAACGATAATTACTTTGGAAAAAATGAAAGAAACTAACTACCTATATGAAATAGTGTTTAAGTGATTCCTAAAGTCATTTTAAATTAAATTACACGAACAATAATACTTTAAGAGATAATTTTTAAATATTTTTTTCCATAAAACATGGTTATATTTTACCATTTTAGGGGGAGGGGGCTTCAGCCCCAAAGCCTTCACCCGTAGATCCGCCCGTGGCCACCGCCAACTACTCTTATGATTATCAGATCCACAGGCGGACCTAAGGAGAAGGGGAAGGCTTTCGGGATGAAGCCTCCCCCACAATATGATAAAATATAACCATGATCTATGAAAAAAAAAATTAAAAATTATCTCTTAAAGTATTATTGTTAATTAAATTACATTTAATAGGACTTCAAGAATCACTTAAACACCATTTCATATAGGTAGTTAGATTCTTTATTTTTTTTTCCTAAAATAATTATCGTTTATACATGAAAAGAATAAGCTTTTGGACTGAAGCCCTCCAAAATTAAATTCTGAATTCGCTAGTAATTAGACCCAAACAAATTAAACTTGTTTTCACCAGAAAAATTTCTCCTAAAAGCTAAGCGTCTTATTTAAATATTTTCTTACAAAACCAATGTCCTTTTATCGATTTATTTTGCTAATTAGCGATTTTTTGAATGGACCCCTACCTTGAAGGCCTTCAGAATTCAGGAAATATCTGATTATTTTCTCACTAACCTGGACATCAGCTGTTTTATGAACCAAATGTATTGATCTGACCAGCAGAAGTTATTAGTGGGATCTTGCAGGCTTCGAGATCTGCATTGCAGGATGTCTTTTTCCTTGTTCCCTCGTACCTTGTAATATCATACCTGACAATAGAAAAATGTAATCTTAATAAATAGCTCCCCCTTTTTTAAGTACACTACTGGTCTCAAAACTTGGTTACCAGTAGCTTCAAAAATCATACTTAAGCCACTGTTACTACTAAATTATCTATATTTTTTATTATACCGGTTCTTTCAGGGATAAGTGGCCAAACTGCAAAAATGAACTAAGGACCTCAAATCAAGTAAAAAATTTTCTCTGAAGGTGTGTCCGCAAACGCTTTGTTTAGGAGATATTCACTCCTAAAGATTTTCGTTGTTTGTGAATTATTTACGTTATAGGAAATGAATAAAACCGACTATTTATTTGTTCTAACTACTTTATTAATTAAATGTAAAGGTTAAATTCATATTAAATGTTGTTCAAAGTGATTTCCTTGAGCATTAAGACAGGCTCGGCATCTTTCTTCAACAGCAGCTGAGGCAGAACTTCTGTGGATATGTGTTATTGTTTCACGAGATTCAATTATCCTTCTTCCTAAGGAAATAAGCTAATTTACCGGACTTAAAAACGCAAATATCACATGACACTGGATTTTTTTTCTTTGGGTTGACATTAAACAAAAATTCTAGGCAAGTCCAGTCAATGATCTTAATTCCTTACGAAGAAGTATAATTGAATCTTGTGAAACAATAACACATATCCAGTGCCTGCCACTGATGCTGTTAAAGAAAGATGCCGAGCCTGTCTTAATGCTCAAGGAAATCACTTTGAACAACATTTAATATTAATGTTAATCTTCACATTTAATTAATAAAGTAGTTATAACAAATAAATATGTTTTATTTATTTAATATAACGTAAGTAATTCATAACAACGAAAATATTTAGGTGTGAATATGACCTAAATAAAGCGTTTGCGGACATACCTTTTGACGAAAATGTTTTCTTATGTTGAGGTTCTTAGATCATTTTTGCAGTTTGGCCACTTAACCCTGAAGCGCCCTGTATAATTAATAAACTATATACATCTACTAAACTCAGATACTTATCTATTTGTTTTCTAATAAAAGCTAAGATCTATTCTTTAATTACAAATAATAGCACGTTAATTCCTCTCTTTAATTGAGGCACTCTGTTGAAAATATGGTAACTAACAAAATAAAAAATTTTCACACTGTTAAAAAGTTCATTAGTTACGATTTATCTTCAAATAGTTAAAAAAACAAATATCACTCGTTAAATAAATAAATTACATACATACTCTATTAACAACTTATGGAAATTACTCTAGAATAATTCGGTATTGCTAAAAACTTATAAAAAATATCAAATAACATAGGTTTCTCTGGTACCCGAATTAAAGAAAGAAAAAGATAAAATTGACTAAAATTATAATAAAGATACCATTGGAAGTTTAAAAAACAAAACAGATATTACAGATTTTATTAGCAATAAATTACTAACCAGTTAGCGATTCGCCAAATCAGGACAGAAAAAATACGTTGACATTAATGCAGACCAAAAACGAACTAACTTGAAGCACTCAGTGTTGCCAGGCTTGGTTTGTATTTTCTCTCTGAACTTTTCTAAATTTTTCTCTACGGCAACTTTAACTCTTATCTAATGTTTAAGCTTTATTTTCCTAGATGACGATAAATTATATTATAAAAGATTTATTTAACATTTTTATATTTTCTTTAATTCAAAATATTTCCTATCTCTTAAATTAGTTATGGTAGTTGAGAATAGATCAAATTAACGATTAAAAGCAAACTAAAAACAGATCATGAAAATTAAATAATAATAGAGAGAACTACAATAAAATCTTAATGTTGCCCAACTGCGTTGAGTTACTAACTGACACAGCATACTAATCTATCTGATTGATAGTATCTAGTAAATGAATTCAGAAAGGTTAAAGTTTTAAGGGACTGTCATCATAAATAACAAGTGCTGTTATATAAAAATGTTATTTGTTGTTTTCTTTCTTTCCTTATTCTCTTCTTCTTCTCAATTCTGTCCCCAGGATCCATAAAGCAATGGCCAGAATTAATAAAGGTGATGATGTAGGATTCCCAATAAATCTAAAATGGACTCCACCTTGCTCTGTATCAACTTCCTTTCAACACCCAACTTTTAAAAAAAACTAGTAGTTGAATTTGAATTTGAAATATTGCCCCCCTAGAACTTCTCTTCCTTTTTCTCTAAAGGCTAAGATATCTGCGTATCTTGGTGAGCCTTTCGTATCCAGCACTACTGATCCAGGATTTAATTTTGGAGGGGGGCCTCAGCCCGAAAGCTTTTTTTTCATATATATATGTATAACGATCATTAATTTGAAAACAAAAAGAAAAAAACTACCTATATGGCATGGTGTTTAAGTGATTCTTGAAGTCCTATTAAATCTCCGAACAATAATACTTTAAGAGATAGTTTTTAATATTTTTTTAATATAAAATATGGTTATATTTTACCATTTTGGGGAGGGCATCAGCCCGAAAGTCCACTCCCCTCCCCCCCATAGATCCACCTGTGGTATCCAGCCAATAAACTTCAAGGAAGCAGCTATAATTTTTCGTCTCCAGGAATTTGGATATTCGATATTTTATATTATTGTGTCGGCGGGTGACAAGGAGCATGTTATTTGGACATTTGCCCAATCCATGAGCTGCGGTTTCTTTTTCTTCTACTTTCAGCCAAATTTATGGCAGAGGGATCCAACATCTCCATTACTCTAGGCTCTCTAAGTAATGAAAATATGAAGTCACAATAAAGGGTAATTGACCGTGATAATATTTTTTCATTAGTTTATTAAACTGTCGGGGAACGGGGTGGATCAGTGAGTGAGCACTGACTTCCAAAACTTAAGGTCCCAGGTCCGAATCCCGGTTAGTAAATTTTCATCAGCCGATGGTCGACCCTGAGGCCAGGAGACCCTCCTGGGGCAAACCCAATCTCTATAAAGTGGGTACCCTTAATTAAATAATCGATTAAGGGGAAAAAACTGGCGGTTGAGCGTGATATTGTCCCGTCACCTCCCTGCACAACCCTTGGCCTTATAACAGTACTTCCTCACATTGTACTGAACCCAAGACCCTTCCTGGATTTTTGTTGGTACAGTTTTTTTTTTCTTATTAAACTGTACTTTTGTTAAACAAATCAATAAAAATACAGTACAAGTATGTTTTCAAACTAATTGTTTCCAATAATTTTAGGGTTTATTTTTTAATAAGATAAAAATGATGTTAAACTAATGTATTTAGTAACAGATAAAAAATTAATTTAAAAAAATCCAAAGAATTTCTCATCTTAAAAACTTTATCAACTGAGTATTTGTATTGTATACATTATGTATTTGTGTAATATTGATTTTTTCTGTCCTGATGATTCCCGAATTGGCTAAAAGTTGACTGTTTATTTATTTACCGGTATTTAGGATCCTTAAGGTTTTATTATTTTTGATTTAGCAATTATATTCTAATAAATGGTATGGTAAGTTAAGTCAGTTCTTCAACTGACTTTTTTTATTTAAAAAAATATTATTCATAAAAAAATGATAATATAACTAGAATTGACTAAAAGTATTTAAGCATTATAAATTGCTGGTTTAAAGATCGCTTTTGAAAAAAAAAAAAACTGATTAGATATTTCATAATAGTTATTTGGCAACACTGATAATCTTTGCCCCCCTCCACTTCTATCGGACCAGTTCATTCTCATGGTCTTGGCTTGGGTTATCATACGTTATCAATTAAATACTTGTTCTCTAGATATCCGTAATCTTCGATTATAATTCTTCTCTTAGATACCTCCCTTTGAAAGCAGAAATATCCTATTCAACAAAATGGTAAGTTTTTAATTTTAAAAGTTAACTTATATTTGTATAATATTATATGCTTATAAAGAAACCGGTAGTGATTAATTAAGATATGACGTTTGAATAAAAGGATTCTTTAGTATTTTTCTTTGTTAAATTATTCTATCAAAGTGCATACTACATCAGTTTCTTTTTTATATTTGTTCTTGTGTTAGTAAATTAGGATTCAATATTAGCAGTGATTGGTTTCATCATTCTGCTAATTAATAGTTTAATTTTTGTTATTTATGTACATGGTTTGTTAAATTATTTATGAAAATGTATGGTTTTAGTTCACAGTTCTTTCGAATCATTATGCCTTACTTCTAACTGAATATAAATGAAAAAATGTCCAAATATTTCATATAAATTAAGATAATTGAATTAATAAAGTAGTTAATGATGCCATAATTGTGCTTCAAATTTGGAAGAAGTTAAATTTTTTCAAAACCAAACTAAAAAATAATTTATTAGGTATAAATGTCGACCTTCACCTTGAATTTAAAGGGTCACTAATGTAATCAGGTACTTCAAATAACATTTTTTTTTTCAAGGGCAATATTTACAATGATGAGGAATAACATCTAATAAACTCAATCGAAAATCTGAACTTTTATTAGCTAGTAATAAAAAAATGACTCGACAGTTGTTATGAAATTCGTCAATCAATTGCCTATGTAGATATTTCAAATTAGCTATGCTTAATAATCAACGTGCTACACAGAGCTAGTAATTCTTTTATTATTTATATTTAACGTGAATTTAATGCAGATAAAATTACATGAATTGATTAAAAAAAAAATAAATTTGTAAATTCATCCAGAGTGTTGGTCCTTGTTTATTTGCTTCTATAAATACTAGCAGCATCTTTTTTATTGGCAGTAGTCTTGATCTGTAATAAAAGTTGGATCATATTTCTGATGTCATTCCAGATTTTTTAATTAAGAAAAGAAAAATTAATAATTGACTGGATAATGTATAATTCTAATATTAATTTATAGTTTTATTTGTCCCATTTTACGGACTGAATGTATATCAGGTATTTAGGAAAACGGGCTTAAGTCATCATCTTAAAGCCTTAATTATTATAAAGCTTTCTCCTTTGCCTTTTCAACTATAATATTCTTCATATGTGTAAGGAATATGTATATATTGTTTTTTATTTAATAATATGTTTACCTATTTGATTTGTATTTACTTGCCTTTATGTTAAGATAAACATTCAAATACTTTTAACTTTAGATATGTATTATTAAAATCTTTTAAGACCGATCACCTAGAATAAAAAATTCTCATTTCAGTTGTTCGAAAATATATTGTATTCAATTAATATAAAATCCATTTTAGATTGCAACTATTCCTAGAAATTCTATAAATTTAGTTTACTGTATATTTTCTATAGTTTAATAATTAATAATCTATATTATGTATATATTTTTAGCCAGAACCAATTCGTGTTATCGTTACCGGTGCTGCTGGACAAATTGCCTACTCTCTAATTTATCAGTTGGCTAAAGGAGATGTATTCGGTGCTGACCAGCCGTTATATTTGCATCTTCTCGATATTCCACCCATGATGGGTGTTTTGGAAGGTGTTGTCATGGAGATTACAGATTGTGCTCTTCCCTTAGTCAAAGGTGTGTATTAATTTTGTAATATATCTTAAAATTACTAGATCTTTAAATATTAACAAAAGTTCTTGGCATCAAGGATCCTTTGTTTTTAAAATCATAAAAGTTTCCTTATGATATTGATATTATTGCCAATAGATCTAATTTAAGGAAGTTGGTATAGGGTGCAGTCAAAGACATCCAATAAAATCTTTAAATGGACAGATAATTTACTCTGTTTAAACTCACTTTATTTTTTACTTATCACCTTGACAATGGTTGTGTTTTGTGCACCTTGTACTAATTTAACCTTAATTTATTTATTTTTTTTTCATCTTTTGTTCAGCCCTAATAAATAGCTACGAATTAGATCTAAATGTAGAAATTCAATAAATATAAGTTCCTCTTATCACGTGTGTAATTTTATTAATAATCATATCTCCACTAGATTCTCAAAATATAAGTTTTTTATGTTTGAAGAACATCTATGTTCTTGGAGTTTTGGAATTCATTTCTTTTAGTTATAGTTAAAAATTTTGAATTGAATTTTCAAAATTATATATTTTTTGTTTTTTTATAATATCCTGTGAGGCATATATCACAATTAATTAATGTGTTTTTATTTCTGAATGTATGGTCTTGTGAGAAACTATACTTGGTTTTCTAATGATTTTATTATTATGTAAGGATTTAGTAAGTAAATTAAGCTCACTAATTCAATACTTTTCGATTTCAATCATTATTATTATTTTATTTATTTTTTACAGGAGTTGTTGCTACAGCAGATTTAGCGGTTGCATTTAAAGATGTTGATGCTGCATTTATGGTCGGATCAATGCCTAGAAAACAGGGAATGGAAAGAAAAGATCTTCTATCTGCTAACGTTAAGATTTTTAAGGAACAGGTAATTTAAATGTATTAAGCTATTATATATTTGTTTTACGTATCTGAGTTGTCATGTAAAAAATAATAATCTTTGCTTAGAAAAACTACGTCAAGCTATGGTTGCACGTTTTCTCGGATCAATTTTATATAAAACTCATGTTCATCTGCTGGTGGACTCGCAACAAAAAAGTAACTTCTAGATGCAGTCCCCAAACAATCACATCCTTACCTCAATTTTGATGTTTAGGGCAAATACTTGTTGAATTCTACAAAGGAATGGAATATTCATTGGCAGGGCCGTCCATACAAAATCCTTTTTTATCAGTTTACATAGTTTTAATCTAAATGTTTTGTGATGAAGACTACCAAGTTTGCACTGGTTCCAATCTTCTCAACAGATCTGTTTTTGACAACAGAATAATATTGTTTGTACTGAAACTCCATTTCATTAAGTAGTTCATGGTACCGGTCAAAACTCCAATCTCCAAAGTTCTCGTATATCTGTTGAGTTAGTTAGTTCTCCTCGTGCACTCTGTCTTCGAATTTCCCCTTTCATCCTCACCCCCACATGTGTAGTTACAAGATTCTTCCTACCTATTCTTTTTTGCTCAACCATAATCCGCTATAAATATTTTTTGTACTAATGAAAAGAAATTTCCTTATTTTCTTCCAGCTTCACAGTAGCACTACAGATCTTAGCAACAAGTGATGTGATAGTTTAAGTAAGATTAATTTGAAGATTATGGGTTTTGTTTTTCTTTTCTAAAAATGCATTTTAAAATTTATTCATTTCCTTGTTAAAGAATGTTCATATCAATAAAAGTTAAATATGATATTTTATATTTTAGGGAGAAGCACTAGATAAGTATGCCAAAAAAACTGTGAAAGTGTTAGTGGTTGGTAACCCTGCGAACACAAATGCCCTAATGTGTGCCAAGTACGCCCCTTCGATTCCAAAGAAGAACTTTAGTGCCATGACAAGACTCGATCACAACAGAGCTCAGGCAGCTCTTGCCCAGAAACTAGGAGTAGGCGTTGCAGATGTAAGTTTTTAAAAAATGTATTTCTTTTATTTATACATTTCAGTGTTTTATCTTACAAGAATTTAACTTGCAAGTTTAAGTTTTTTCTTCAGAGTTTTATATTTTTTAATATTCTTAAACTTTTACATATGTCAATAACACATCACTGTAGTTAAACATAATGTATGCAAACAAAAACTATAAATAAAATGTTCCCTCTTTATTAGGTACTGTTAAGGACTCTCCCATATCTAAACAGCCAAATAGGTATGCAAAAAAAACAACTTAAAAAATTAAATTTTTTCCTCAAACCTCAATGAAAAAATAAACCATAAGAATGTATGTTTTTAGTTATCTATTTATATACACTGTATATGTAATCACTTTCATAATTTTTAAAGTAAAAATTCTATATCGAATTACAGAAATATAATGGTAATTAACATTTTATATTTAAATATTAATTGATTTTAAAATATCCATAAATAATTCAATCATGAGTTGGCCTTTTTTTCTAATATATAATAAAAAAGGAACATAATATAAAAACAGAAAAATATTTTTATGTAAAATAGTGAAGTTTATCCTAATTATATAAAATAAATGTATAATTATCAGGATTTTTAAAATTTTGTATGTATCATATTCACTCTCAGGTGATGAGATCATCACCATCCACTTTAATCCGAATATGGATGAATCGATGGTAGTCTTATAACCAAATACAAAATATAATATAAGAAAATAATTAGCATATAAACTTATTTATTCTTGGTTTTTTTATGTATAAAATTTATTTTTGTAGAAAAAATCATTACATGTTGAGATATTTTTATATGAACATTGAAACTATTGTTTGTCATAATGTTTTATAAATTTCATTACAGGTGCAAAATGTTATTATTTGGGGAAATCACTCTTCAACTCAGTTTCCTGATGTTGCTCATGCTTCGGTGTTGATCAACGGTTCAAAGAAATCTGTGTCTGATGCTATCAATGACAAGGATTATCTGCAAGGAGATTTTGTCAAAGTATGTATAATTCATCAAACAAAAATAAATCTTACGATTTTAAAAATAATGTTTATTTGATTAGTTTTTGTTGATATAAATGTTTGAAAGTTGATGTTCTTTCAACTGGAGAAGAGGTATGAATTTCTCTCGGTAATGATTTTCCTTCTACTCAGATCCTGTTGCTAAATTGGAATTTTCCACTTTATATACCAACTATTGGATTTTATATATGAAATAAAATACTATACAGTATTAAACCTCGAGAAATCTATAAATTATTCAGTGTTGCCATGGTTATATTCATTGGGTAACCACAGTTATTTAAATAATATTTTATATGTGGAAATTTTGATCTAAAAAAAAGATCTGGAAATTTCAGTTATTTTAAAGTGCTAAAAAAAATATTACTTCTTTGATTTTATCAAATTTAAGGGTTTAAATTGTTTCTGATCTTCTCCAAAAGATTCAAACATTTTAATTAACGAATCGTTGTGATTGTAAATAGTTGATGCTTCTACTTGTCCACTTCATATAATTTTGCCACATCTTTATTTTTCATATCATATATCTAATCGAACATTTCTTAAATCACGCATAATGAATTTTAAAAGCCACATTCACAAAAATTAATATAAAGTTGAACTAAATATAATGTAAATTTCACTCTATGTATGGAAAGATATTCATAGAATCACACTCTTGTTGGTTTCACAATTGCTTTTTTTTTTTTAATGTATTAATTAATTTACATATGGGTATATAGTTGACTGTTGAAATTGTAATGATGAAAAATGGTAGGATGTGCAGTTAAAAAATTATCTTTATCGAGTTTGCTAACATTTGGGAACACCCAAATTTATGGGTCATCATCAGGAATAAATATTAAATTAAATCAGAAAAATAATAAACATATAAGTATAAAAGAAGAAAAAGATTGAACATAAAAATGAGATAAGGATATTATAAATATAACAACAATAAAAATATTGCAATATGCTAAGAAAATCTTTTGTGTTATAAATAATTGAAAAAGATAAGTTTATCAAAAGTAAGAATAAATAAACCAAATAATTAGTATAAATAAAATAATAAAATAAATAAGAAGTAGGATAAGCACGCCAGTGATGGGATGGACATAGCTAAGGAAATTTTTGTATTTTTTGGCTTTGCCGCCGTATTTATTATAGTCATAAATTTCTCTATTGGATGTTTAGAATATCTAGAGCCTCCTTTTTCTATTTAGCACTTTGAAATTGAAAGAATATTCAGTTATGCAGGTTTAATCTCCATTTAAAAAAAACACCTTTTTGCAATAGTGATGGACACCCCAAAACTTCAATTGTTCAAGTAATGAAAAGGGAGTTTGATACCAGTAATCGACATACCTAAAAAAAATCTAAATTTTTATTTAACTATAAAGATAAAATAAATGTTTAACATATCCTTAGCAAAATTGTTAGTAAGAAGGTATGAAACACACTGATCTCAAGAGCACTATAGAATGATAGGCATTTTAAATTTTTCTTTTGGGACCTTTGTTCATACAGTCGTCAATAGAGGGCATTGTTCTTTAATATAGAAAAAACTGGAACCTTTAAATCAATAAGGACGCTTATTATTTACATTGAAAGTCCAATCTGTCCGTAACTGGTGTGTTTACTCTATGCAAAAACGATGTATAGAAATAGAGATTAACAAATATAACTAGTTTCTTGACAATTACTAATGGTTGGAGGCCAGGCACATTATATTAATTAAAAAACAAGTTGTATTAATTAATGCTTTTGAATTTATGCTGATTGTGATAACAGTTATTATAATTAAAAATTTATTCGAGATCAATACTTAGATAAATAAATTGTTTATTGGTTGCTGAATTAGCATACATGCTTTTGATTCTGTGTTGATTTGAAAAAAATTAAAACAAATTTTCTGACAATAGATGATGTTAAAATTTTATTAATATATCTGTTTTATTTATTTTCTATACTTTTTAAATTATGCATACCAGTAACTGTGCATTAAAAAGATTTGTCTGTATTTCACAGATGGTACAAACCCGAGGTGCTGCCGTGATAGCAGCACGTAAGATGTCGTCTGCCATGTCAGCAGCGAAGGCTGCGGGAGATCACATGAAAGATTGGTGGTTCGGTACAGCTCCAGGACAGCACGTTTCGATGGCTGTGATTTCTGATGGGTCTTACGGTGTTGCAGCGGATATCATGTTCTCTTTCCCAGTTTCTATCAAGCCTGGTGGTGAATACCAGATAGTACAGGTAATATATCATTTTTTAATTGATTGTTTGCCAATCAGGCAATAGCTTATTTTTTACTAATAAAACAACTGTTTTAATAAATAAATTTCATTTATGGAGAATATAAACAGCAATGGACTCCTTTTTCTTCTTCTTTGCTTAGCTCAGGAGGTGCATATAGCAGCCCTTGAACTTTTTTATTTCCGCCTTCCACTTTTCTCTATCCACTATGTAATTTTTTCACGACTGTATGTCTTGGAATACACTATCTCTCTAGCCACCTTTGGGTGTCTCTCTACTTCTCTTTCCATCTGGTGAACCCTTAAAAAGTCTTTTTGGCATCCTTTTATTTTCCATTTTCATTAAATGACCAAATCACTTCAATCTCTGAATTCTGATTCTGGCTAAAATATTCAGGTCCTTGTATTTATTATACAGATCTCTATTTTTCCTAAGCTGCCAAATTCCATCTTCGCAAAGTGGAAATAAATATCACCTTCTATATTTCAATTTTAGACAGAGATTAAAAAATACCTGATTAATGTTTAAAAACGTTTTATCATAAACAATCCTCTTTAGGTTATTCATATTTTTTTTTTTTTTGTAAGAATTTTTAATACACCATCGATAAATAGTATAAACTCCTCCTCTCTTGATCATAGAGATCTCAAGTAGACGAAATTAGACATGTATTCAATGACAGTACTACAATTAATGTAAGGTTGTGTGGATGCGAACCCTATGCCTTGCGTTATCTCGAAAATAGTATGTTTTGGGGCTTAAAAACGCAGGATCCGATATTTCCGGAGGAACTATCTGGGTCTTGCTGTACGCATCAAAATCTTCAAGATCCAATTTGTCCCGTATCGATCTACAGACCTACCACCGTTCCAGTATTGAAGCCTTGCAAAATGTTTCTATCGACTTTATTTATTTTAGAAAGAAAAACATAAGTGGAGAATACGATTCGCTAACACCCATGAAATTCTGAATCCAACGGTATCCCATTCATGGTATTTGAGCATGACAGGAGCTTATATTTGGTACAAAACCGATTTCGAGCCTTACTGTAATAATATATGTGGGGATTATTATATTTAATCTTATTATATGATTATTTTTTTATAAAAACCCTTTTTAATCTCAGTCTTTTATTATACATTTAAAACATATTTGCAATATTTAACATTAATATTTTTTAACGTTTCGGCTCCAAGAGCCATTTTCAAAAAAATGGCTGTAGTCTAGACTCAATCTATAGTTTAAAAGACATAATACAGGTCTTAATCTGTATCCTATGCCATTATAGAATGCCTCTGAGAGAAGGTGTGATCAAAGAAGCTTGTTTTTCCAACAAATATACTGTCGCTTTAATGTTACAATATTATCTACTACAATATATTTATGTGGATATTGTTAGATATTAAAGAAAAAATATATGCTTCACCTATTAAAATTTCCTTTTAGTGATTGCTTGGAAACAATGCCAAATCGGAATTTGATTAGTTATATATTTTTGGTTTATCAAGCTTCATATAGATTTCTTTAAAAGTTGATATAGAATTATTTAAAGCTTGATATAAATTTAAAATTGATTATATAATGTGGTATTTCCAGTAATTTGATTTATAACAAAAAATCATTCTTTAATATCCCTAGAAGTACTTTTTGTTTTTGAGCTTAGACTGTCCACACGCAGACCATTTTATGAGATTTAGTTATTTATTCAGAAGATCCTAAAATGTATATAGTTTCTTTAAAAACTTGGATTCAAAATCGTTCATGATCACAATACTTTCTCTTACTATATATTTGATTTATATGTAAATGAGAATGAACAAAAAAAAAGTATAAAAATAAATAAAGGGAATAATTCACATTTCAGGTTTTTCTGCAATATTAGTCTTATTATTCCAGATCTTAGAAAATAATGGAATTTTATAATTTCTTAAATCTTGAAATTCTAATTGATTGTAAAGTAAATTGCTAACAAAGGTGAAGCATTTTTAATTTTCATAAGGATACTAAACTATTGTTCTATGTTCCAGGGCCTTCCAGTAAGCGACTTTGCTAGAAAAATGTTAGATATTACAGCGGAAGAACTTCTCGAAGAAAAGAAAGATGCTTTATCCTTATGCCAGGATTGACTAGAAGTCATTGTTCAAAAAATCAGTTCTAAACTTTAAAATGACTGCCGGCATTAAGAAAACAAATTCTCAAGGAGATTATTAATTTTTAAATAGATATATATGTGTGTTTATCTATGTATGCATTACATTATTAAATACTATAAATCATCATAGTAAACTAATAAATGCATGACCAGAATATTTCTTAGAAGTGATTCTAATTAATAATGATTAAGTTTAATATAAATGTATTTTTATAATTCTTGGTTATTTTTATTTTTTAATAAAAGGAGATAAGGACCTAAGGTGTTGGTTGATTTTTAAATTTTGAGAGAATGAAGTTTTTGCTTCTTTATATTTTTATTTAATATTTTTATAAGAATGAGTTAATCAAAAATTGTAAAATAATAAAAAGCTATTTTTAGTACAAGTTTTTATTTAATTTTAATTTTGTATTTATTAATTAAAATCAATCATATGCCCTTCCATACAATTGGAGTCAGTTTGAAATGTGAGAACTTTCAAGGAATTTCTCTCCTCTTTAGCTTCTACCTGGGATAAATAATTTAACTTATCATATTCACTGAACAACAGATTAGGACCTATCAACTTGTATTTCTCCTTGCCCAATGGGCACTAGAGGACCTAGGTATTTCTCTCCTCTATCACTGCTTTTCTCCTCTCCTTGCGGTCGTCCACAGCTAGATTCCTCCAATTTCTGATCCTCAGCTTCCATACAAACTTTGTTTTTCTTCCAGATCATCCAGCTATCGGTGCCTGGGTCTCTTTTTCTTTTTACTCCAGGTGTATCATTGAGCATCATTTTTGGTAATTTACAGAAATCCATGCTTTCAACATGACCAAGGCAACTGAGTATGCTCTTCTTAACAGCGCTAAGGATATTGGTGGGCAAAGCTGTTTAACATCAGTAGCCGTTGCAACAGTTTCTATTACTTTCAAAAAACAGTTTAAAAAAAACAGATAGGACTGTCTCAAAATTTGACAAGCAAAAAGAAAAAAAGCCTAGAGAACTTCTCGTTTCACTTAAATTAATTAGAAATTATTTTTAAAAAATCCTTTGAAAAATTAGACACAATATTTATAGAGTAAAGGGAATGAATAAATATAATTTTTGTCTTTAAAGTAATTATCAATTAAAATGTTAAATTTAATTATACCTTCATAATATTTCAACTGTGGGACAAAAAAAAGTATTTAAAATTGCTGATAAAAGTCAAAGTGACATTAAAATTATAATTTTGGATCATAAGTTATTTTGAAGGTATTATATAAATTTATTAGTGAAAATAATGAACAAATAATAATTAAATAGAAAAAGGAGTTGCTAAAACGGTTCTCTAAACAGTAAAAAATATAGCTGTTTATAAGTTGTAACAATGCGATGGCCTGTGTTCCATAGAAACAAATAATTAAAAGAAAAAGTATAGTTGCGCTGCTGCAAGGAGCAGTTTCTGAATCAGTTGCAGAAGACTGTATCTATTTCAGAGGAATTTAACTGCTTTGGAGGGCTGTTTCTGTAACAAGAAGCTGTTTAAATGAAACAGGTTTCTGTATCTGTTTAAATTAAACAGCCTCTGTAGCTAATAAAACAGATTCAGTGTTTCCATCTTTTACCATTGGGATTGCTGTCTCCACTTACTAACCTGTAAAGTGTCTTGGGTAGGTTCCTAAACTCGAGTTCATCGATGGGTTCGTTTTGCTCTGTTTAGAGATCTATTCGATGGCATCGATCAGTTCAGCGCTGATTTTAAGAACAACTTGCCCTCTCCTTATGGAAGGTAATCCTTGTATCTAATCTCGAGTGAAACTGTTTACTGTATCTGTTTAAATTAAACACCCTACCATTAAAAGATATCAGGCTCATCTCATAGTTCTATTAGTTTGACGGTGCTTCTTATTCTCTTCAGATGCTGCTCCAAAGATATTTCCTAGGACTCTTCTCTCCCAGACTAGCAGACTCTCCTGTTTTTCTTGGTCAGAGTTCATGCCTTGCTGCCATACCCAATGATTAGCCTTATCACTGTTGCTTTTCTAGACTTTGATTGCTTTTGTATTGGAGTATCTTTTATAGGGCCTATAAACATCTAATCAAATTGGATTTAGGAAGGGTGAAGTCGTTCTGGAAATGATATTCTCCCAAAGAACAATTCTGGGAAATGACCAGGAATATAACTTCATTACTCAACCTTTTTATCGACGTCAAGAAAACCTATCATAGATCGAAGGATTTTGAAATCATTAAGGTCTTAAGCAGGCTAACTGCTTAGGACATCTATATAATCTCTGTTTGGAGTGTGGCATGGGGAGACAGTTGTTTGTCATGAAAGAGGTTTGCTGGAGAGAGTTCTGGACTCGTGAATGAGGAAAAACCTAAATATATGAGGACAAATCTAATAGGTAAAGTGATCACTTGAAGTCAAAATTGGGAAATTCACTTTTGAGAGTTACCAAACTTGGCTCTCAAATCATCACAACCATTAAATTAATAAGAGACTGATGACAGCTAATTGGTCATATTTCAGTTTATATTGACACCAAAAGCAAAACAATTATCTTGGGCTACAAAATTTTGTCTATACAAAACATTCAAAACGGTAGTAACATACACCTGAGTGCTTGATCCTCAAAGAATACCAGGATCAGATGTTGAAATTTAAGAGATGAAATCTCAAAAATTCTTGGACTAACATGCACTAATAAAATCTGTAGTCAGCTAAAGAATAGAGATTTTAAGCTTCATTGCGAGTTTAAGTAATTCAATGTGGGTATAGTTTAATTTAATAAAGTTGGAAGACTTAGAGCTGGACATTTTATCAGAATGGACCTAGAAGAGGTATCACGAAAGTTGCTAGAAGAAAAGCTCTACACAATGAGAGGTAATTCAATTCATCTGTCATCTCATTTTCATGAGTGCTATATTGGCCTGGTACCCATTCAATGTTAACCTTATTGAATCTATATAAGTCGTTAAGAATCCGTACACAGTCCTTGACAGCATTAGATCTAGTTGAATAATTGTCGAGCGCTCATTTTACCGCTTGACTGTCGGTATGGTTGGAAATTTTCCTCCCCATCAACCCATCGAACAACAACTTTAAAGGCAAAGCAAGATATCGCCAGTATTTCAGGTTGGAATTCCCTTGCATATTTACCAAGTGATGTGAAATTAGTTTAGAATTCAGGTTTTTTCATTTAAGCTTCTTTTTTTATATTCAATTTTATTGTTTCAATTACTTTTATAATGTTAATATCAGTTATAATTAAAATCAACATATTTCAAATTAAGGGTTTATGATATAACAATAAACCAGTTCTGATAAACAGCTGCGAGATCTGGACACTAACCAGTACCATTAAGAAGATTGAACGATTTGATAGAAACATACTCCACGTGATAACAGGAGCGATCTGGTATCTAACGCACGGAGGAGAAGGATCAATTAAAAATTGCTTACAGAAGCTAATCAATCAATATCTCATGACATTTAGACTACGAGGTTAAAAAAATGAGCAGGACATGTAGTTTGGAGCAATCCATCAGAAAGCCTCTACACAACAATGAATGCCTCAATACTAGGCAAGAGACCACGTCAAAGGCCAAGAACTAATTACATAGAACAAATAAAGATACAGCAGAGCTATGGAGAGAGGGCTGATTAAGGCGGTAAAAGAAAAAAGAAAAAAAAAAAATTAATTAATTTGACATACATAAACTTTATCTTTTTATCAAGGGAATATTAAGAAAATAGACCATGATAGTTAAAAATAAAGTTTATTATAAAATTAAAGCTATTTACAAGCATTCTAAAATTACAGTTATTCTAAATCAAAATTAAATATCTTAATATTTAACTATAGTAAACTTATAAAATGAATAGGAATGGTCGAACATTTTATATATATACTGTGCAGAACAAATAGGTTTGCAGTAGTTAAATTAAAATACTAATAAATAAATGCGCTTAATTAATTGTGAATTTTTAAATATTGTGTTTTAGGAAAATGAAACAATAAATATCACAGTAATAACTAATATTAGTAGGCACTTAAAAATCTAAAATAAATTATATTATTTAGCAGTAAAATTAGAATCCAAAATATATACATCTATTAGAGTACAATCAATGACTAAGTTAGTAGTAATATCGGCAAAATAATACTAGTGTCATGTTTCACTGAAAAATGATCCAAGATTAAATTAATTACACTATACATAGAATCCTGAAACTAACGGTGATGTCCAAATGTTTATAGACTGAAACATGTTAATGTATACCGTACTGAAACAATACTTATAGGTTTACATAGTTTAACTACATTTTACTGAAATGTAAATCCTGTAAAAAAGATTTTAAATAATAAAAAATACGATAAACAACTAAGTTGTAAAGAAAAAGTTAATTATATAAAATGATTAAAAAAAAAGTATTTGAAAATCTAGTTATAAAAATACTTTAATACAACGTATGAATTAGAAAAATTGTTGTATAACAAATTCCTAATCAACTTGGAATATTCTTGACGAAATATCATTTACCAACCAATTGATACCATCAACTAGATGTTCACCAGTAACAGCTGAACAACTAATAATTTGCCAGTGATGTGTTTTAATAGAATCCAAGTCCAATACATCTTTTATTTGCTCCAGGGATAAAGCACCAGGTAGATCCTGTTTATTCGCAAGAATAAGAAGAGAAGCTCCTACTAACCTTTCTTCCACCAAGAGTTCATGAAGTTCACCTTTACAAGAATCAAGTCTCCTGGAATCAACACTGTCCACAACCCATATTAACCCATCAGTACTTTCAAAGTAGTTTTTCCAATATGATCTCAAAGACTTTTGGCCTCCAACATCCCACATATTTAACGTAAATCCACCTTGGTACAATGTTTTTATATTAAACCCTAATGTTGGCGAAATAGTACTAATATCTTCGTTATTCAACCTCTTGAGTATAGTTGTTTTACCAGCATTATCTAAACCTAATATAAGTATTCGCATTTCTTTCTCCTTTTGTTTCATTTTCTTTAGAATATGAAGAAACCCCATCTTCAACCTAGAATTATAATTGATCAATTCTTTATAGAAATTTAGTAAAACCAGTCAAAATAATGTCTAAGTTTGACAAGATCGAAGGTTACTATATTGTTACCCATACACAATAAGGATCGATTTTAAAATAGATTATGTAGAGTATTTATTTTTCACAATTAAAAGAATATAGAATAAGTGAAGCATTTTGTTTATACAAATAATTTGATTAGTGATGTTTTATAATCTATAGGATACAGAAAATATTAAATTAGATTCTTAATACGCATTAATGGTATTTTTTAACTATCGATATGTTCTGGAATTGACTTTTTATCTGCTTATTTATTGTTGGAATATAATTATATTGACTTATTAATATATTCAACTGGAACGGTTTTAAGTTTTAAATCATTTTTGATAAGAAATTAAGAAAATATCAATTCATAGCCTTGTTTTTAATGATTGAGGTAGTAGATAAAAAGTTAACCAATGTGCCAAAAGCACGTAGGTTCGTGTTTTCGTCTTGAGTTCAGTATGGTTATGATTGACATATTGGTGAGTTGGCCCTTACAAGAGGCCTAACAATATGTGTTGGTTGTTTTGTGTCAGTGTATTGTTTTTTACCTTAACGACTTCAGATAGCACATTATTAGATAAATTATCGAAAATAAAATGGCACTGCGCCGACGAAAATTGTTCAGGTAACAGAATCATAACCTTAACATTTATAGACTAATTGAACTATTTATCGTTTTAAATATTACAGTACTGTATTTTTCAATTAAATGCCAATAAAAAAGAAGGATTTTAGGCAGATGTACTCGTTTATTTACTCCTGGGTTGAGATCTATTTGTAGTTCTTATTGTAAGACATTTTATCATTAAAAAAAAAAAAAGTCATTAATTGCTTTTCTACTGGAAACCATTTATCTGGTGTGTGTTCAATTACAGTGCATTTTATGTCAATCTTTACTCTTATCAACATATTTTATTAGCTGATACATTCTCATGTGATAAGAGACAGACATATATATTTCTCATTTTGTCTGATTATTAATTTGAAAAATGGAATTCTAAAACTCTAAATTCTAATAAGACAATTATAAGAGATGATATTAATTTGTGTATTGTTTCTGATCGAAATATGCAGTATATAAAATGGTTGATGTAAATAAATTATACATAAAATGTTTGTAATACTGAAGTTTATTTCCTCCTAATGCTGACAAACAGAATATTACCCCTTCCCTCTACATTTTTAAACTTTTTATGGTTATATCTTCTTCAAGAAAGTATGGGTTGATGGTTAGGTTTGTGTATACAGTGAGTCTAATTCAATTTTCACTGTAATTGAAAGGAAAAGGAAAATGATTGCTATATTAAGATGTCAATAGTATTTTAAAAGGATTGGGTTGGTTTGAAGGAAATCATTATGCAAAAGAAAATTATAATAACACCCAGTCAACGAAGGAAAAAATTAAAATCATGTTATTTTATAAGGTAATATTGCATCAACGTGTATGTTTTAATAGCTTACTAAATCTTCTGTCAAATTCTATGCAACAGTGATTATTACTCCTTATGATGTAAAAGTTGTATTTTTATAAATTGTAATGATAGGAGATTTGACATTAGATAAGACTGAACTGAATAAGGATTAAATCAATAAATGAATTTCAACTTAATGCACCTTTCAAAGTAATTTTGTCTCGTATTAGGATGTCCTGATAATATTGCACTACAGATATCAAATATTTATAGATGAAAGTCAATTTACATAAGTAAAATATTGGGTAAGAAATTTTGATCAAGGAATATGTTAAATGTTCTGAAAATCATTCATTATGAGAAGAAATCTGTGTGGGTTTTTGGGGAGATACTGTAGGAGCTAAGGTGTCATCATAGCTACCTCAAATGAGAAGCAGTATTGGTTTGAATCTAGCCTAGGCGAGTTGAAATTTATTGGGTGATGGACTCATCCATTCCTCGTTTTATTAGAATACATAAGAATGTTAAGCCCAAATAAAAAAAAAAAACATACTTTAAATTGTTAATAATAGTCTGGATGAAGATGTCTCCTGATATTGACAGAACAAAGCTAATTTTTAAAGTAATCTTACAAGTGGAATGAAAGGAATATTTTTTGATATCTAGTCTCATTAAATGAGACTAAAGAAATTTTATGTCATAAATAATATTATATCTATCATCGTCAGCCCATTTGGCAATTGTTAACAGTTAGTTGGTAGACACAAATTAATTTCTGTTCTAGTATGAGAGGTCTGGTACACTAGGTACACTAGTATTAATTATTAACTAAATTAATAGTGTGAAATCGGCCTTGTTTCTTTCGATATTGATGATAAGCAATATATTTATTTATGTTTTTAATATTATATTTTGTAAAAGCAACCTTTTTTTTTTTTAGTTTTTAAATGAGTGGTCTCATGTCAAAGGCAAGTGTCTGCTATTTTAAGAATTTTGAGAAAAAGCCAATTTTCATTTTAAAGATTCAATTTATACTGATTACAATAACTATTTTTTTTATAAGTCATTATGTACATTTTTTATCAATTATGTGAAAGATTTTATATCGATAAGTATCATTTTAAAATTTGCTCAAATTTACCTTTTAAACTATAGATGTCTGTTTTTAGAAAGAAAAATTGGCAATTGTCCGTTTTAATAGAAATACGATTGTAGATATCAGTGCCGGCCTTGGGGCAGTGCAATCCAGGGCACCATTCTGGAGGAACACCCTTCTTATGTTGGGGATTAACAAAAATTAGTTACCTTTTTAATAAAACAACTGAATTGGAGCTGTATTCACAAAAATAAAGTAATTTGCAATTTTCTTCACATGCTTCTCATTTCCCTCCTCCGAATTTAAACTTTTGTTTTGTGGATACTTTATTTAAAGTGGGTACTCTTAATTAAAACAATTAATTAAGGAGGAAAACCTGGTGGTTGAACGTGATCCTGCCCCAATCGCCTAGATGCACAACTGTTGGCCTTAAAACACTACTTCAGATGTACTGAACCCCACAAGACCCTATTTGGATTGTAGTGGTATACGAATTTCTTTTTTTTGTGCAGTTCATAGAGTTAATATTTATTAAGATATGAACTACAAAAAAAAAAAAAAGTTGTTAACTGCAGCTCCCTGTTATGTCAACAACAAGACTTTACAAACCGACCTAAGACAACCAACCATTGACCAGCACATACGTACTCTCTACTCCCGATTTCATCTTAAACTACATGTACATCACAATGGACTTATCAACGACATGGCCACGGCTGAAATGCTCATCAGGAGGCGACTGAAAAGGAGCTGGATGAGAGATCTCCTTTCCTGATTTTAGGATGTAAACAGACCAGAGAAGAGGTGCTGCTGAGTTCCATTCTTCGTCATGCCTATCATTCCATTTTCTACCTAACAAAAAATCTGCTAATTGTCACTACCATGACAGGTGCAGATGAAGAATTGAAGAAAAAAAAAATTAAGATACAATTATTTTAAAAGTACATATTACTTTATATAAAATACTTAACAAAAATAATAATTAAATTATGTTTTCCCAGGTCTCTTTTTATCTAATAAATTAATTTTTTTTTTTTTGTTGTTTCCCTTCTGGAAATAACAGGCAACTATTATTAAAAGTTTAGTCAAAGGACCAAAATCTGCCTATCTTTGTTGTTTGGTAAATTTTCATTCTTGAAATGAACTTATAATGAAAGCTAGAAAGCTAAATTTAACTTATAATTTTATTTTCGTTTTATAGAAACTTAAAGTTTTGATAATTTAAAAGAAAAAGAAAATTATAAGAATCAATTTCTAACTTAATTTTTATTTAGGTGAACAGATGTCTGTCTACCTTTGATATGAGTCCACTCAATTGTTTATTAAAATAATTTCAATTGTGATAAACCTATAGATATTTTTTTTTTTTTACATTTTATTCATTTATTCATATTAATGAAGCTCAAATTGAAAGTTGATACAATATATACTTTCAATTTGAATTTCATATTATGGATAAAGGCATATGTTAATAATTTTAATTTTGAATCATTTTTCAGTACCGATATCGGAGGGATATGGTTTGAGGTTATACAATGGAGATGATCCATTGAAGCTTAATTTTAATGCAAATGACCAATTTTTAATTTTGGGAAAAACAAATGATGATAAATTCGATAATTATTGGCTGGTTCAAGTAAGTTTGATTTTAAAATATATATTTTTTATATTAAATAGTTTTTACTTTTAGTTCTTTCATGGCCTCAAAAGAAAATGTTTTACTTCAGATTTACTATAATTTAAAATATATATATAATCTGTCAGGTGGGTGTATCCTCGTTCATACGAAACCAGTTGGTCCGTATGAATAATTCGAAAAGTATATTGGTCAATGAACAGATGACAAAATAATAAAGAAATAAAAATATGCAACATATAATAGAATGGAAGAATCAATTCTTATTTTCTTAATAACTATAATCAACCAAGGGTAGAAAATTTTAAACTAAGGAAAAGTTGTTTCTTGTCTAATAATGGTTCGATTTCGATTATTTATTTTTTATATGGAATTTGTAATCTTTCAAATAATCATGGGTGCATTCAAATAAAAATGTATACTAGTTGTGTTATTTCCAAATAAATTTTCTTTTCCTCTTTAACGTTTTTGTCTAAAATTTTAGAGTGATTTGACTATTTTTGCACCCTGAAGGAGAAGATTTTCAAGTTATTTTGCTGCGGACTCTTTGTCTTGCTTTATCTCGGAAATGGTATATTTTTCTAATCACCTAAAATCTGGCCTGTGTTTATAATTAAATTTTTTTTTATCTGTAAACATTTTGCCATGCTTATTGCTATGGAACAGTACATTTTATTTTATTAAATCTGGTTTATCTGTAATTTAGGGAGTGGGGTAGCTCAGTGGTAGGGTACTGAGCTTCCAATGCTAAAGGTCCCAGGTTCGAACCCTGGCTCATGTCAGAAAATTTATTTATCTGATTCATTGAATGTGGAGCGATCCTGGGTCGGGAGACCCTCCTGGGGCACACCTAGCCTCTATAAAGTGGTTTCCCTTAATTAAAAAATTAATTATGGGGAAAAACCTGGCGGTTGAGCGTGATCTTGGTCAAATCACCTCCTTGCACAACTGTTGACCTAGAAACAATGCTTTCCCTAAATAGTACCGAACCCTAGACCCTTCATGGGTTGTAGTGGTGCAGGCTTTTTTTTTTTTTTTTTTTGCAATAATTTAGAGATGAATTATAGAAGACTGTTAAAAGATTAACTTGGATATAGTATTGTATAGTTCGGAATATTAATTATAATAATAAATAATTGACTAATATTCCTGACTATAGTCCTTGGTGGTTTGAAAGTAGTTTCTTTTTCTTAATCCTGAAAGTTATTATTTATTTTCTAATAAATTATTTTGTCACATTTTATTGTTATCTATTAATTTTAATTATTTTATTTTATTTTAGACGGGTGATAGAAAAGGAATAGTACCAGTCCAATTTGTTAAAGAAAGAAAAGTCATCATTAACAAAGGCGAACAAATCATAACAGAATTAGATTTGAGTTCTATTATTCAGCCAGTCCAGACAGAAAGAACTATTAAAGAAGCAATAAAGCCATCCCCGCCGAAAGTTGTAGTTGACGGTACAACGTTACCTTCTTATGAAGATGAGCCTTCGGATGTCGTAGTTGAAGAAGAAAGCGAAGAAGTTTACGAGTCCTCGATACCGTTAGAAAAAGAAAATCTAGTTTTTGGCACTTCTGGTTTCAGCGACACAAGTTCTATCAAAAATGATAGTCCAGAAACTGATGGTAATCAACAAACCAATCACTCAGGGACAAGTGAAGGTTTCGTCGGTGATAAAGTAGCTAGTATTGTTTCTCACAATGTTGATATAACTGAAGGTGCAAACAGTGATATTGAAAATGGTACCACTCCAGAAATCAGTGGTATTGTAGCGAGTCAAAATTTTGCTAATGATGTAGTCGAGACTGTCCATTGCTAAGACTACTATCCCACATACTCACCCCCCCTCCCCCCCACACACACCCACACCCATCCACCCTCTCGCTTCCAACTCATCAACCTCCCTCCCCTACCACCCCATCACCCTCCCCAAACCCACCACAATCCTCCTCCCTCCACATCATCCCTCCCTTCTTACATGCCCAACTCCCTCCTCCCCCCCATTACCATCCCTATTATCGTAAACCCCCCACCCTCACCCCATCCCTCACCTACCAACCATCCCAAAAGACACATTCACCCTACCCCCCTCTCGCCAACCATCCCCCACAACATCTCCTTCATCCCCGTCACACCCTCCTATCTCCACACACCATCAGCATCATCCACTGAAATAGTCAACACCATCATCAAAATCCCACCACCCACACCCCCCATTCGTCCTACCCGCCCACACCACCCGAGACGCACTGTATGATATCTTCATGTATCCCTTAAGCTCAACAAGCTACCCCACCAGCCAGAACAACGCGGTGGTACAAGAGAAAACAACCAAGCGTCAGGCAGAGATCCAGACTTACCAACTGCTTCTGAAACAGTTACATCTGCCAAGGAAGATGTTACGATTTCCCCAGAAAGTTTCGGTGTCGAGACATCGCCCAAACTCATCACCCCATCACCTTACTCTGATTTACCATCTAACATAGAACAGGTTAAGGAAAATGTGATGGATCCCACGTTGAAGATAGATAACTCCCATGGTCCATTTTTCCATCCTAGTGGTAGTCCATACCCTTCTTATGATCAATCAGTCGGGAACAATGTACCCTCTGATTCTTCTCTACCACCTCCAATGGAATTCGCTTCAGCTCAGCATACTTCTAATTTTTATAAAGATAATGTAGAACCTGTTGCTTCTGCTGGATCTCTCCCTAGTGAAATACCAGGGTCTGTTCCATCTCCAGATGTTTCAAACAATTATGCCAGCAGTAATAACGTCTATAATCATGATGGTAATATTAATTCTGAATCATTGTTAAATGAGAACCTTATAAATCCTGTGGTAGAGAAACCCATCGATTCAGTGGTAGGAGGTGTGGTTAGTTCTGATTCAGAACCATCTGTTGTCAATCCGGATCTTCCGAATCAACCTTATCATGAAGAGGTTACTTCTGAAACTTTGCCTGTTGATAATTCGGTAAAAGAAGGCAATGACAGAGAAGATAACTCTGAATTTCAGCCTCAATCTGATGAGTTGAATGATGTAATTCAAGAAGGCGATGGATGGTTCTCCAGTATTTCTTCCATTATGGGCAGCTTCACGGAAATGTTTACAAAATCTGAAATTGGAGTCGACAGAGAAGATGTTACAACAGCTTCTGATGATCTTGTTACCTCTTTCGAAAAAAGTGGTGACCAGCAAAGTGATGGTAACTATTTTTTGATCTACTTATATTAATTCATACAATTTAAGGCTTCCTGAAGATAGAATCATACCTGATGTGTTATACTTTGATATCATATCTCTAAATTTGTTTTATCATCTAATCAATGCCGGGTACCTGATTATTACTCCTAACCAGGGGCTGCTGTCCGTTACTACCAAGCACAAGCATTGCTTGTTTATTTCGTTGAAACTGCTCACTATAGCAGCCGACTCCTCGAATTCAGTATCCTAGTTTTAAATAAGTTTAAATGAAAATGTTTGCCTTGAATTTAATGGTTTTTATTTGTATATCTAGGGCAGTAGTACATACGATAATGGAGTTTTGATCTAATTTAATTAATACATACCATTTTCCTCATATTTACAGTTGAATAATGAAGTTAGGTTATACCTATCTTAAAAAATGTACTGTTAATCACAGTGTCACAGTTAATTAACTGTGATATACTCTTAACATAAGTTCCCTGAAAAAGGTTACAAGCACTCAGTGTTGCCAGCTTCCTATAGTTCCTTTTAATATTTTGAATAGAAAAAATCAGTCTGGTGATAGAAAGAATGTGACGAAATATTATTTTAAGAATTGATGGCGTATCTCTTATTTTAAATTCATTACTTATTATTATTATGATCATTTCCGTTATAAATACCACATATTTGAAATGAAATAATTACAAATAATGTTTATTCATTAGGTAATTAGTAAATAAGCATAAGTAGATTTAAAATTTCTTCCATTATTCAATTTAATTAATGTTAGTTGAATTTAGGTATATTAAATACTTTTATAAAATACTCTTGTTACTTCAATCTTATAAAAATTATTTTCTATAGCTTTATTTAAATTTTAAACAATTTTTATTTTAATCTTGTTTGACATGTATGCGTAAATGTATTTTCTTGAAAAAAATATATTTTGAAAATTGAATATATTCAATCCTCTATAATCGGTATTAAGAATACATTAATTACAGTAGTTAAAAATTAAATTTTTTTTCTTTCGATTTTGGCGCATAAAAGTACTATTGAATATCCAATTAGTATATTTATTTTGAAAATAGCTCAAAGGCTGTTGTATCCCTCTCCTTTTTAACTTATTTTATTTTCTAGTTGTGTAGTACTTTAAGTCAATATTTTTTTGATTTTTTGTTTATAACTTGAATGTTTCCAGATGAGAGGAAGTATTGCCTCAAAGAGTCGTGCCGTCAACAAATAAAAGATGATACAGTAGATGACAGTGAAAACAAAGGCAGTGAATATATTTCTGCGATGGTAACGTATTAAGAGCCCTAACTAATTATTATTATACATTTGTTTTGTGAGTTCTTAAATAGAAACAATTTAGAACTATTGTTTTGTTTGTAAAAAATGATAAATTGTTTATGATAATTGAATATTTGAATGTAAAAAAAATATGTAAATTTGAGCTAGAATAGGCTTCAAGTGATAAAAAAACCAGGTTTTCTACTTAGGTGAAAAAGTTTCCTATTTAGGAGAATTCCATGATTGGGAGGGAAAAGAAGGGAAACAATTTTTACCTATCAAAACCTAATCTGAGTTAAATGACAGTTTAATTTATTTTTACTTTCACTTACCTATATATGGAATATTTAATAAGCGAAAGTATTGTGATCCTGAAAATTTTGAATCTCATTTTTCAACGGAAATACTTATTTTGAGGTCCCCTGACTCTAAATAACCAAGTTCCGCAAAATGGTCTCTGAGTGTGTATGTGATCAGCCTAGCTCAAAAACGAAAAGTCGTACGAAACTTAAATTTTGTATTCCTATGTGTATTCCTTTTGCAAGGTTCCTATGTGACAGCTACCAACAGGCTAACCGGAAGTGCTACTTTATATCAATGGTGATACACAGTTTTACGGTTTTCTCGAAAACGACTCTAACGATTTTGATTAAACTCAGTATATTAGTGTAATATTAAGTTGTTTTTAATATCAGCTAGGTCTTATCCACATTGATATTACTTTACAGGACTTAAATGTCCAGTGTTCATATACGTCTTCCTCTAATGTACCTTTAATTTGATTTATTTAAAAAAAAATAACTCTCTTATTGGCAGTACTATAAAAAATGGCTAAATATAACTTTTGGAAGAATTTGATAATTGAATAAAGGAGAAAAATGCTTATCCAGATCGAAAATGAATCTCTGGAAATAATAGTTAGAAGGTATACATACATATAATATATCGTTGGAAAGCTGATAATTTTAGAAAAAATATAAATCATAATTTCTGAAAACTAACATTATTTAAAGTAAATCACATGTTTCCAAAAAAATTAAATGGAATTTTCTTACTAAATGTAAGCGTTAAATTTTTTTTAAATTCTGATAAAAAAGTATTTAAAATCCACCGAATCGAGGCAATGACTTTGCTTGAAATACTATTTCATTGTACTGGTGTGAAAGGAAAAGATGAAGATTAAGAAATATGTAAATCTAAATACATTTACTGTAGTTTAATAAATCTAGATCTGATATTATATTTATATAATAAGGTATCTAGCGTCCGTTTATTTTGAAAAATCATTACGTAAACTTTTAGAAAATTAAATAAGTGAATAATTTGATAAATTTTCCCCTTGTGATATCCCAACAGTATCCACTTAAAATTAGTATGACACCGTTTGACCTGTCTATGACAGGCAATGCGAATTTCGCAATTCCATTTTAGTAAACTTTGCAATGGAAAAAAATAGTTTAATGATTAATAGTCGTACAATCAATAATCAACCTTCTATATAATAAATAATGGTATCAGTGATTTGTTAACAGTAAATTTTAAGCTTTAGCTCTGTTAAAAATGCACTTCAAAAATTTTATAATAGTCCAACATTGCCAGAAAATAATTTATATTCAAGTAGAGCGGTGTGTTGTGTGTTGCACTCTGCAGATTTTTTAAATAATATAAGTAAAACAGACATAAAACGAGTAATTGCATTTAAAATTGTGTTATTATATATATATTTGGGCGGGAAGGATTTTTAAGTTCGTTCTGAGAGGAAGAAAAAGGGAAAATTTGACTGACCAAAGGGAAAATTAAAAAAAATATGGTGGAAAAGCTCATCTTCACAGACAAATAAAAATTTTTAATTCATCCAAGTGCCCAATGTGTCGATTTCTATAATGTTTTTTTAAACAATAGAATAATTAAAGTGGTTATGTTCTAATTTAACACAGTCATCTAAAACTTAAAGAATCACTTGTGTTTCGTGCAATTAATTGGTATCATCCTATGCTTTTTTAATAATCTTTGCTTTATGTAATAATATATTGAATAAATTCTATATCAATATGGATAAACAACTAATTTCATGAGGAAATGCTTATATTGATTAAATGCAAATCTACCCGGGCGATGACCTCCGCACTATTGGTTTAAAAATGAAAGCTATGAGTAATATTGTTTCCGCTTATTTATTTTAACGAAGTGAGTGATTATTCATAATTTCAGGGAAAAAAACTAATTATATAACTATAAGGATAGAGAAGGAGTTAGTCGGGGGTGCGGTCAGATAAATACTAAATTAAAATATAGTAATTATTTTATTTTAATTTTGCCGACGTTTCGACCCACTTTGCAGTATATAGTACAACTTGCATACATAGTACACTTGCATATATAGTACAACTTGTTTTTGTTTCTTTATCATCATAACCTTGTTTTACATTTATTCTTACATTTTAAAGTTCTCCTTTAAAATTATTGTTTTCTTATAGAGTTATTTATACTTAATAATCTATCCAAACGATATTACACTAATGTTACCCTATTAATCTTCCAGTTTCTTCACTTATTAACCTTTAATCCCGTTATCTGTTTACTTACAATTAAAGGTAACCTCCACTTGCTTGTTATCCACTGATATCTTAATATTATGTTATCTTATGCTTATTTTAACTTTACTGTAACATTACTTATTCAATTTTCAATCTATTTATTAGTTAACATTCATTTTATTTATCTGTTAAACCCACAGTTGTCTCATGTAATCTCTATTAGTTTGTTATACACTTATTCCTTATCTTTTATCACAATCTGTTTACTTTTAACTTACATGCTATATTCTCCTTTATTTTTATTTTTATTCATACTTATTTTCCATTTACTTGTATCTTCTACATATATAAGATATCATATTTTACTTCTGTATCTGACAACTTCTTCTTATTTTATATCTACTTATATTTAATTTTTATTCTCAACATGTTTTGTATCTTTTGTAGCCCTGAAGAGGACCTGCAAAGTGGGTCGAAATGTCGGCAAAATTAAAATAAAATAATTACTATATTTTAATTTTGTATTTATCTGACAGCACCTCCGACTAACTCCTTCTCATATTATATCAACGGTCAACCATCTCTACATCATTATAAGGATAGAAATTTGAGTTAAAATCTTGCATATCAGTTTCATAAGACAAATATTTTCCCAAAACATCTCTTAATGAAGGAGTTGTAAGTGTTACATAATGTATTGTTTGGAAATGTCGATTCTTGATGAATATAATTATTGTTGAATCTATTAATATCAATGACATTGAACATTGAATTAACATACTTTTTTATACTTTAGTGTTGTAATCCAACCGAGAATAAAACAAACATGTTATATACTCTGCTAATAAATGAAGTTGTGCATCTATTTATAATTTTTTGTTTAATACATTAATTTATTAATTTTTTTCATGATATATATTTAATTCGTATTTACTAATTTTTTTTTTTTTTCTTTCAGTTTGGTAGTTTCTCAGAAACTCAGATAAGTTTCTCTACACTCATTTGTATGGTTATAACTTCCATTGTTGTACTGTTATTCTCTCTAGGTTATTATTATTTAGAGGTATTGCATTTCTTAATTTTTTGTTTTCGTATCATTTGAAGTTATGTGCATTATTATCATATTTTTTTTTATTTTTTTATTATTTTAGAATCTGAAACAAGATACATCTCTTATTGCTAAGATCAATACAGTTTCGACGGAACTGTTCTTTGCTCAAAAGGAATTAGCGTCTATCGAAGAGCAGTATCAGCTAGCAAATGAAAACGTAAGTTGTTACTTTATTTTTACTTTCTCCTGACTGTAACTTTATTCACTTATTCTCCAGTTTAATGCAATAATATGTATAGTTGAAAGAAGTATTATTACCAGGTTAACTATGAACACTAATGTAGGTCTGTGTCATATATATTTATAAAAATAAAAAATGTGTAAATAAGAAATAAATGATAGATACTTCCTCCATATAAAAAAAAAATGTCCCATTAATTTATAATTATAAATTCAATTTATCGTCGGTCATTAAGTGCATATCATAAAACCATTATATATATGAAATATAGTTACAAGTGCACAATTTTCTGAATTCATAAACGGAAAATTCTTCAAAGTTTTCAATTATTTAAGATTATGAAATGTCACTTAATGAAATTTTGGAATAAACTGCCGAAAATAAATTTATGAAACAAAGAGATGAATAAAAAAGTAAAATTATGTTTCTGACCTTTAACTTATTTATAATAATACAAAATTTAGTCTAGTATTTCAGGCACCACGTTTTTTTTTTTTTTTTTTTTTTTTTTTTTTTTTTTTTTTTTTTTTTTTTTTTTTTTTTTTTTTTTTTTTTCTCAATTTTACTTGATTTTTATGCGGAAAACTGGTATTTATTTATTTATTTACTGGTATGGTATTTTCGAGATGATATGGGTTTTCTGTTGTGAAAACCAGGACTTGAAATTTCAACTTTTATTATTAATAATTTTCGGTATGATTGAAATTTTTATTTTCAAATTTTTTCCCCGACATTTCGGAAGTAGAACTTTTTCCGTTGCAATTTTTCAAGTAAAGGTTTAACACAACTTTTATTTAAAAGTTCTGTTAATGTAAAAAGTCCTTCAGTCAAATCAGGAATTTGAAGATTATTATTAATTTAAATAGCCCAAATATAATTTCAAAGATATAATGTTCTTCATCATTGTATGTGAACCGCAAGTTACAATGGTGGATATTTATAAAAAATCCAAATGAGCTAAAGTGATGTGTGATTGTCCAATCCTGATAAATTATTTTGATTATAAATAAATGTATCAAAAGTCAGCGTTAGTAGTTACTTCCACTCTCATATTTTATTTTAAAGCTCCATAAACTCCTTCAAATTTCCAATTATGTTCTTTTCAATTCAGTTGAACAAATTTTGAAATTACATATTTGAAAATGAATTTAATATATGAGTGGTCTCATATAAAAGACAGACATTTGTCATTTTTTAAAAGTTGAGAAAAAGCCAATTTTTGTAGCATAGCTTCAATTTAAACCAATTCTAATGATTGTTTTTCCTAATTTAACTTTAATATTTTTAAACAAAATCATCAGAAACAGTTTAAGAGTTGAACCTATAAAACAGTAATTGATTTTGTCTTCACTTTCTGTAAATAAAGCCACTTAAATCTATTTCTCACCAATATTTTTTTTTTAGTATAAGAGGCTTGTCTCTGAAACCTCGCATAATGAAACAGCCATTGAAGATTTGAGGAAAGAACTAGAAGAAAGTAAAGTAAGTATATATATATATATATATATATATATATATATATATATATATATATATATATATATATTATATATATATATATATATATATATATATTATATATATATATATATATATATATATATATATATATATATATATATATATATATATATTATATATATATATATATATATATATATATATATATATATATATATATATATAGCCGATATATATATATATATATATATATATATATATATATATATATATATATATATATATATATATATATATATATTATATATATATATATATATATATATATATATATATATATATATATATATATATATATATATATATATTATATATATATATATATATATATATATTAAGCAATATTAAATTAAATTATCTCTTATAAACTTTTTATATATACTGTAAATTATATTATAGCATTATGTTAATTATATTTTAGAATTATGAAATTAACCTTAAATAAAGTTGTCTGCCGATAGCTCATTTGATTTGAACATATTATTAATTGAGACCTCTAGAAGCAAAGAGGTATATGTGAAAGAAACTAATTTTTGACTAAACAAAGTTTAATAAAGGTTGAAACGTTTTTTTGCAATATTTAAAATTATTTTTTAAATGATAATATGCACTTCTATACTTCAGTACAACCAAATAATACATTTGTAATGGTGTAAAAGAACCGTATAATTACCATAATGTCATACCCCAATATCGTGGTCCTTTATTCAATTATCGAAGGGGATTTTTATGATATAAATACTATTATTAACTTCTAGATTTAGGAATCGATTTATTGTTACTTTTCGGATTATTATATTATCAAAGGTCTTTTTTGTAAAAATGTTAGCTATTTTAAGATCACATGTAAAATTTTTATACTGACAGAATTTTTTGAACCTGAAAACTGAACATCGAAGAACTCCAATGTCTTAAAACAAGTCGAAATGTGAGCATGCTATCTTTAAATCTATAATGTTTTCAATAAATATATCAAGCATAATTTTATGATCACATTGGAAAAATGAATTATTAATTATTTGTAATTAGAATGGAATCATTAATTATTCAATAAATTTATTTATTTTTAATTAATATTATCATTGAATGATGTGTAAATTATTGCTGTTCAGATTATTTTTTAATGAATAGGACATTAATTAATTATATAAAAGATAAAATTTTTTTTTAAATTTGTTATTCGAATATAATTTGCTCAACTGTGGCTTGTATCATTTTATTTTCAAAGCCAAGTTATAATTTGTTTAGAGCAGAGATGTCCAAAAAGGGGTTTCATGATACAAAATGCGTCATCAAAACTGTTGAGGGAGGAGGAGGGGGGTGGCAAATTATGGTGGGGTTTTGAAGTTTTTAGGCCACATTTTAACGGAGTTTTTTTTGAAAAAAAAGTTTCAAACCAGGGCAAAACATGGAACAGAACTTAGATAGTGTATTTGAATACGATTAAAATACTTTTAAAATTATACTTTCACTTATTTATTTATATTTATTTTACATGTACTATTTTTGAAGAGGATGGTAATAAAATATCTTTGGAGGGAGGAAATGCGCTATCGACCTTGGGGGGAGCAAAATTTTATTCCATCGTTCATATTTTTTTTTTTTGTAAAATTATGTTATAAAAAAATTACAAACAATGTTATGAAGGATAAATAATATTATTTAAATATGTAAATATATAAACTCTTATTGGTTGTTGGTTACAATATATCCCCACATATATTATTACAGTAAGGCTCGAAATCGGTTTTGTACCAAACATAAGCTTCTGTCATGCTCAAATACCATGAATGGGGTACCGTTGGATTCAGAATTTCACGGAGGATTAGCGAATCGTATTCTCCACTTTTGTGTTTCTTTCTAAAATAAATAAAGTCGATACAAACATTTTGCTAGGCTTCAATACTGGAACGGTAGTAGGTCTGTAGAGCTTACAAATTGGATCTTAAAGATTTTGATGCGTACAGCAAGACCCAGATAGTTCCTCCAGGAACTATTGTATCCTGCGTTTTTAAGCCCAAGAACGTACTATTTTCGAGATAACGCAAGGCATAGGATTCACATCCACACAACCTTACATTAATTCTAGTACTGTCATTGAATACATATCTCATGTCGTCGAGTTGAGGTCTCTATGATCGAGAGAGGAGGAATTTATATTATTTATCGATGGTGTTTTTGATCGGCAAGAATTTCAACGAACCATATCTTCGTTAATTTTTCTAATGATCTCATGATTGAGCCACCAATTTCGAAGGCTTCCTTCTCCTTCAGGCGGGCAAAATAGTCCCATCACTCCGAAAATTCAGGCGAACAAGTTATGAAAAAAAAAACAACTTTATTTGCGAATAACTGAAAAATTACACACTTTCCCTTAGTTATACCTATGATTATATAAAAGATTACTAAATTCCCTACAAAATGAAAAAAAAAAAATCATCGAAATCGGACAATTTTTAGCAAAGATACAGCTTACTAAAATTTGTAAACATGTTGGTTCCAAACAGAAATGCAGATTTAAATTAATTTTTGTTTTCTTTGTCGATTATATTTTTATTGATAAAGTAACATTTGATTTCTTAATCTTTTGTTAATACGTTGCATTGTTTTATTTTCTTATTAATTTGGCATTTGATAACTATATGCTGTGCGAATTTTTTGCACGGGCCTACTAATATTTAATAAATTCACTAATATATCTTTACCACCTTAGGCTGCCAGAGGGATCCTTGAAGATGAGATTAAAAGACTGGAAAAAGAGATTGAGTCCCTTGTCGAAGAAGGAGATGAAATGCACAGGATGTTGTCCGAATCATTTTCTGAAGAGGAAAGGACCAAATCTCTTCTTTCAAATATTTCCGATTTGAAGGGAGTGCTGTCCGATAGGTTGCAAGAAATAGTATCGTTAACTGAACAGTTAGACAAGGAAAAACAGGAGGTAGTTATTATATTCTTACTAAATATATTTTATTATTTTTTTACAGTTTCAAAATATTGATATGAAACTGGTCTCATTGTTGAAATAAAAAATATGAATATATTGAGGCCTGTTATGTTAAATCCATTTTTTTTTTTTTTAAATCAGTTGTAATCAGGGGTCGAAAGAGTCATGAATTTTTTTAAATGTTTTATTTTAAAAGTATTTAGCAAACTTATTAAGAAAAAGTTTGCACAATAAAAGTTATTCTTATACTTTTATGATGAAATTTTTTTTCAAAAAGTTATTGGAAATTTTTCTTAAAAAAGTTATAGGTTCATTCTAACTTTTTGAACAACTAAAATTAAAGTATGAGATAAACAACAACTTGTTTTCTCTTATTTGGGTTCAAAAAGTTGTTATCATAGGAAATGATTGAGTAATTGTTTACGGAAACTGGTGTTTATTTTGATGATAGGATTATTCGTAAGGGTATTATTCCTATCCTATCATTTAATTTTTCTCCAATTGAAACAAGTCCAGTTAATATCACCTCATTCCAGAATACTTTGTTGTAGTTCTAGTTATTTCTTGTGTTGTGAATAAACGGTTGAGTGCGAATTACGATAGTGCGTAAAAAAGGCAGACTCGTTCGGAGTTTTTTATAATACTTTTTGTCAGCCAATGAAAATATATGCCACTGTTGTGAAAAAATAATTAAAGGTAATTTTTTAACGGATTTAAAAATCATATATTTGAATTCCATAAATGTGTTTTTGATGAATTGTACAATCTCCTTGAGTAATCTTTTGTAAATATTTTATGACTTTTAAACTATAAAATAACTAACAATGTGAAATGAATGTAATAATTATATTGATTTTATGAGTTATTTTATTGTTCAAAAATCATAATATATTTACCAAATATTAAAAATTGTAAAATACAACAATGAATTTTCAATTTTTGCCTTTCTGAAATAATTTTTTTTTTTTGGATAATTGTATAAAATATATACAAAGATATATTTCTGAAATTACTTACTTTTTGATCCCTGGTTGTAATTGATAATTAAGGCGCTTTAATTGATACCTTATAATATGGTCTCAGGTAGAACTTCTGACGATTAGTTTGAAGAAATCAGAAGAAAAGCGAGAAACTACCGAGGATAAACTTACTAAAGTGTTGATCGATGCAGATTCGAAGACTTTGGCTGTGACGAAGGAGTTTGAAGAAAAAATAACAACATTGGAAAGGGTTAGTCACTATTATTTATACTTAGTATTAATTTTTTTTTTTTAAGTTTTAGTAACTGAAAAGTTTGGTTGAATAATAATTTTGAAATTATTTGATGTAATTATCAAATTAAAAAAAAAAAAATCAGTCTTACAGTACTTATAGTAATCAGTCTTTCTATATTTACTATTGATATCCGGTGGTTATGAAACCCATGAAATGTTAATTTTTTGTGGGGGGAGGGAAAGATAACATCAATAACATATGCCTGAATGCATACTTGTTAATCTTACAAAATTTCATTGATTAATCGATATAATGACCGTTCTCATGTTATATTATCTTCATGTTTATATTGTATTAATGTTTGTTTAAAAAAAAAATGACATTTCAGATTATCGAAGAGAGATCCTTGGAACGAACCAACTTCGAGAAACAACTATGTGAACTCAAGGGAACATGCGAATCGCTTACGGTCGAGAAAGAATTGGCCGAGAAAGAATTGAAGAAGGCTCATGGAGTGAGCTCGGGGAAGGCGTTAAGCGAATGGTTAGAAGCTAAGAGTTTAAGAACAGAACTCTTGACAGTTCAGAAAGAGGTAGTTTATTTTTATTTTTTATGTTTTTTTTATTTTTAATTTTTATAATGATGTGTAAGGTAAGCAATTTAATATAGATTCCCGAGGCTGAAAAAAAATTTATTCCACTTCAATTTTTTTTATCTTTAAGACGTTTTGGCTAATGAACCATCATCAGTCAGTTCTAGAATGGTTCGATTAAAATTAATAGTAAATAGGAAGCAATGACGCATTTGTTTTCTGCTAGAGAATTGATTTTCTGTCTGTGGCAAGAGATGTAATATTGGTTGAAGCCATCAAACAGCCGTTTGTGACGTAGGCCTCTAAAGTAAACGCGCAAGATCATACAATGAACGAGACCATGCTCACCCATCTGGGTTTCCCTAAGCTTCAGAGTGCTCATTTTAAAAAAAAGGAAGTTAGCGTGCCATACCTTGTAGTAAAATGAAAAATACAATACAAATTTTAAAAGTAACAATCAAATCAAACTATTATTTCTGGGTCAACGGTTGTACAAGCAGGTGATTTGCCCGAGATCATGCTCAACCGTCAGGTTTTCCCCCTTGTTTAATTCTTTAATTAATAGTACCCACTTTATAGAGGATGCATGTGCCCCAGCAGGATCTTCCGATCCCAGGATCGATCCACGGCTGACAGAACAGAATAAATAATTTACCTGGCATCAGCCGGATTCAAACCTGAGACCTCGAGCATTAGAAGTCAGTATCTTACCACGGAGCTACCCAACTCCCCGAAACTACAATAAAAAATTACAAATATTAATTATCTAATAAAATTACAAATAACAATCGAATGGAAAAACAAAATTAATTATCTATTGATATACTATCAATGATATTACAAAAAAAATTCATATACCATAGGTGAGGAACTTTGGCATCAGAAGCCAAATGGAGCCTCCAAACGTTATTGCACGATATTTATTAATCTAATGCTAGAATTATTAATATTTAATTATTTAGGTTACAAACATTTGAAAATTAATAGAATTAAGTTGAATATATGTATATGGGTATTTGTATTTAGTGACAACTTAAAGTAGGAAAAGTTAAAGTGTATAATTGTTATATTTAACAATTGTTGCGTCCTCCACTAGCACTGCCTTAACCTTACTGCGGTCTCTTACGATTAAAAAGTTTCCCACCTATGACATGTACTGTTTTTTTTTTCTTTTTTTATTAAAGAACTTTAGACCATTGTGGTTTTCCATAACATAGGGAGGGAATTCCAGAAATTAAACAGTGCAAGCAATAAAGGAGTTTTGAAATGAGGCAGATCTGTGAGGTTAATATATACAGTGGTGTGAAAAAGTCTTTGAACAAACCAAAATTTTTATAGGAATGATGAATGTTTCTATTTGAAAGTGTTTTAATCTTCTTAATTGTAAACTAATTTAACTTTGGAGACATTGTCGATGCAATATATGTTTAAATCATCATTATTTTTAATTAACAACAAACCAAAGGACCAATCCGTTGTGTTGAGGTTCTTTCATCCTCTGAATATTGCTACATTTTCATTTAAAGATCTCTACTTTGTTATCCACTTCAATGTTTATTCTTTAATGTGAACATAAACTCTAGGTAGTTGAGTGTATCTGTAAAAATTGTTCTAATTTTTGTTAGGTTCACACCACTGCGTATAAAAAGCATATAACATTTTACTCTTCATCCAAAAACTTTCATAAACTGCATAGTAAATTTGCACTTTAATCTTTAAACTGTTGAAAAAAATTATGATATTTATATATTTTATTTATGTTTAGGCTGAAAAGCTTAACGAAGCTTTGGAAGAAGCCAAAAACCGAGGAGCCCTCCTTGAAGGTTAGCTATGTTTTTTTTCCATTTTTCAACTAATTTATCATAGCATTATTTTCTCTTTAATATCATATGATGATTGACCAATTACAATTATGTTATATTTATATGCAATTTGAAAATAATTACGTTGAGGTGTGGTCAATATATGGTAGTATATATTATAATAATGTTTTGTTTTTTTCCAACGTTTCGGCCTAATATCTAGGCATTCATCAGGACTAAAAAAGATAGGAGTGGGGTGGCAAAACGGGCTAACGTATGTGCAAAGCACTGCCTTGCCCGGAAACCTGATGAAAGATATAATTTGATAAAATAAGTATGAGTTTGTATCCCGTTGCTGGGAAGCTTTTAACTCTGGCATTAATATCTTTCCCTATTCCCCTGTCCTGTAAAACCCCCTTATGGCCTAAAAGATGATGTAGAGAAGAACAAAAAGATACAAACTATAAATAGTAATTGGTACAAGGTAAAAAATAAAATAAAATATCAGTTGATATTAAACTAGTTGTATATAACTATTTAGATATTAAACAGACAGAGGTGCTCTCCCCAGGTCGATGGCGCAAGAACCTACTCCTCCCTCTCCTCCCAAAATATTTTATTGCTCACATTTTCTTACTAACAGAGCAAGCTAAGATATAATTAGAAAAATTGTAGATCATATACAATTACACTTGCTGCGTCATGTGTTCCATGTTTTTCCCCTTGTCCCTTAATCTGAATATTCATTACTGCACTGAAATTTGCCCCCCTCAAAAATTTGTACTAAATATTTTTTATTGAATAATTAATGAAGTAATGCTTACCAGTGTATTCTTCAACAAATAATTAATAAGTTAATCATTATTTATAAGAGATAACATATTTTTATTTATTTATTTTTCGAATAAAATTCCCTCTTTTATGTCTTGTATTGTATCCCTTTATAGTCTGTGATACAGACTATACACAGACAATTTTTATCAAATTATTAACATCCACCTAAAACTTCATGAGCTATTGTAATCTACAATTTTTTTTTATATTCAAAAATTCTTATAAATAAATATAGTAGAATGATGGAATTTTATCATTAAATTAATTGATTTAATTAGGAACTAAAAACTCACAGTTCTAGTCACAAATTTAAGCCATGCACTTAAGTATATTTTTACTTTCACTCACCTATATATACAATATATAGCAAGGGTAAGTATTGCGATAGTGAAAATTTTCGAGTCTAAGTTTTCAACGGAAATACATGTTTTGGGGTCGCCTGAGTCTGAATAATCAAGTCCTGCAAAATGGTCTCAGTGTGTGTGTGTGTTTATTTATGTTATCAGTCTAGCTCAAAAACAAAAAGTATCATGAAAGTTAAACTGCATATTCAAGGTTTTTATTAGCTTTTGATGTTACAGCAACATTTTTGTCAAAATCGCCAAACCGGAAGTGGTACTTTATATAATAAATTTAACAAATTTTTATGATTTTCTCAAAAACGGCTTTTTATTAAATTCAGTATATCAGTGTATTATCAAGCAGTTTTTAATATAATGTAGGTTTTATTCTCATTGATGTTCTCTCTATGTTTAAATGGCTAATTTTCAATATCGGCTTCTTCTAAAGTAGCTTTATTTTTTTTTTAATTTGAAATAATTAATCATTTCACATTAATCTTTGATATAAAAAATAATTAAATATAAAATATAAAAGAATTTGATAGTTAACTAAAGGAGAAATAAGAGATCATAACAGATAATAATTGTAATAGAGGAATCAAAGGAATACATGCTTACCCGAGCTCGCCCGAAAGATTACAATAGGCTTCTATAAGTAACGTCAGCTTCATATAATACGGACTCCGACAATGTTATTTTCATATACATATGCGGTTTTCATAAATGCTATTATTGGTATTATTTAATATTTAATTGTATAGAATACAGCGATATAGAAATTAAAATTTGTATATCTAAGAGTATTTAAACAAATAAAAATATCCACAATGAATTGTAAATAAATATAGTGTCAATAATTTTTACTTTCACTTTCCCTTTTTCTGAAAATACTTATTTCTGCTAAGAAGAGGGTTGTAAGTGAAAGTTGTGTGATGCACGCACCAGATTTTTTTTTTCCAAATATACACTCATATCCCTTCGCCTCTAGGGCTCTGATATTATATGTTATGTGAAAGCTTATATGAGTTTAAATAGTATGACTTTGTAGTGTAAATACATAATAATAAATAAGTATAGTAAATTTATTGTAGACCCATTGTTACAGAGAAAGAGAAACAACTACTTAACGAAATAGATGATCTTAATAATAAATATGAATCTGCTGAAAAAGATAAAATTGAAGCCCTTACAAAACTACAAGTTTTATCCAATTACTTCAAAGAAAAGGAAATACAACTCCAAGAGTAAGTAACATATTGTGACATTCTATTACCTATAAATAGTACCTAAATAAGGTATAAATCTACTATGTATATATATGCAGATCTAAATATATAAATCTAAGACGAAGAAAGAAGAAAGTAAATTTTATTCTGTGACATTTAATCCCCTAAGAATAACTCCAGTGACAAAAAAAAAAAAAAAAAAAATGAAAAGTGTCTGGTACTATAAGAAAATTTAAAATTAAAATAAATTAAGTTCAAGTAAACATATTAATTTGCACATAAATATGTATGAGTGTGTTCATATATTTGTTCTGATTAACAATATTATTAATATATAAGTAACAGTAATTTAACAGTCATATAAAGGTCTCAGCTCTTAAATATAAAATTTTGGTCTTGCAATTATTCGGAAGATTGATTACTTGTTTAAATTAAGTTAAGGAAGAGGATTTATGTATAGAGATAGATAGGGAATTCCAGAAAAAGGTAGCACGCATGACAGGATTTTTTAAAGGAAACGGTTCTATGAGAGGGAACAAATAAGTTTATGGATTGGGATCTCGTTTTAAAGGAATGAACTGAGGAACAAAAGTAAACAAATCTAGAAAGCAAGATGGCTTTTTGGCTTGGATTGATGTACATGCATCCTCCCGTCAAATCTGATCTTTGGTCCAAGGCTTCAACGTAATTGATTCTTCTCACTGTCACTTGCCCCGGTAGTGTGTAGGTTTTGTCATTCGCATCCATTTGGACTTTAAAGTTATATAGTTCTCATTAAAAAAAAAAATTACGATATTTGCTTAAGACCACACGATAGAAGTGAAAACACCACCGAGACGGTATTAATAATATGAAATATAAATATTCTTTTTTTATGTTCTAACATTTGCAATATCTTTTTTTTTTTTTTATTTATTTTTTTTTTTTATATACATTACAACATGTCATAAAGATAAGTTACAAGTTTATGGTTTAGTAACCTTACACATGACATAATAGTGGTATGAATACTACTTAGAAAATTGAAATTAATTTTTTACAGTAGGAAAAATCTCATAAAAACCTACATAAGATATAAATAAAAAAAAAAATTATGTTAAAATCATTAAAAGTACAAGAAAACTAAATATAATTTATGTGCAAAAGGAAACTATATATATATATATATATATATATATATATATATATATATATATATATATATATATATATATACATATATATATATGTGTATATATATATATATATATATATATATATATATATATATATATATATATATATATATACATATATATATATATATATGTATATATATATATATATATATGATATATTTATCATATATCTATATACATATAGATATATATGATATATATATATATATATCATATATCATATATATATATGATATATTTATATGATGTGTGTGTGTATGTATCTATATATATATATGTGTGTGTGTGAGTTAAGTATGTGTATGTGTGTGTGTGAGTTAAGTATGTGTATGTGTGTGTGTAAATATATATATATATGTAATATATATATATATATATATATATATATATATATTTACATACATATACATATATATATATATATATATATATATATATATATATATATATATATATATATATATATATATATATATATATTTACACACACACATACACATACTTAACTCACACAACTCACACATATATATATAGATACATACACACACACATCATATAAATACAATTTGTTGATTGGGATGATTGAGTTTATTGTTACTTGTTTGGTGATTGATAAGAAACCTTTAAATTTTCACAAATAAACTGATTGATTTAGACGTTTAGTAGTATGTGTTTAGTCCGTCTGTGTGTACACCGTTTCAAATATGTTTTGTCATAGTTTCCTATTGTTCGGATAATAGGGTTTTCAGACGTTGGTGTTAGCTCAAAAAATCTCTGTGTTTTGAAATAAATATATTTTTTTATTGTGGGAAGCTGTAATTCTGCTAGCATAATAGATACTTTGGTATAACGTGGATAATTGTTTATGATTCTCATACACATATTTTGAATTACTTCGAGTTTTTTGTAATTAGTCTCGCATGTGTAACTCCTTACTGGGGCAGAATAAGTGATTAAAGGGCGGATTACTGTTTTATATAAAATTAGTTTATTTTTTGTATTCAGTTGTGAATATCTATTAAAATATGGTGACATTTTGCTGATCATGTTTTTTGCTTTATTGCACTTGTTAATATGTTGGGTAAAATTTAGGGATCTATCAAGTTCTAGGCCTAAATATTTCACGGAATTGGACCAAGAGACCAAGGAAGAACCTGTACTTCTTTTATGTGTATATTGTAGTTTATGCGTGGTCTTCTTTTTGTAAAAATAATTGCTTCAGTCTTTTTATCATTTATTTTTATTTTCCATTTTTCAAAATACTTGCAGAGTTTTATGAATTGGGATTGTAACCTGTTAGTTATAGTATCGATTCTAAAAGAAGAGGTGTAAATAGTTGTATCATCTGTATATAAGGAGTATTCTATTGAAGGAATGGAAGGGTGGTCTGAGATGTATAGGCTGAATAGTGTAGGAGAAAGACAGGAGCCTTGAGGGAGACCTGCAGATAGGAAATGGATTGAGGAATGGTCATTCTTTATTGTAATGCAAAAGGATCTATTGTTGAGATATGAGTGAAGGAGGTGGATTATGTAAGGTGGGAATTTATATAAAATGAGTTTATGGATAATACCCTCATGCCATACTGTGTCAAAAGCTTTTTCTATGTCTAGGAGGTTGCAACCGACGTTGCAATATCAGCAATTATAATTGTGTATAAACTATTTTATGTGTGCTATTTTAATGACCATTGTCGAAACACTATGAAGTGCAACAGAAAATTGAATAGAAACACTTAATTTTTTATTTTTATGGCTAATTAAAAAAATATTTACATTCATTTCTGAAAAGGAAAGCTGCGGAGACAGCACTGAATCAAAGCACTGTATATCCATTTCATGGCTGACTGGTGATTTGTCTTTCTCTCTATCGTACTTATACTATCTCTTATCCGTCCGTTTAATTTTTTTCTTTAAAATTAATCATTTATAATATATATTAAATTATATAAATTATTATCCATTAAAATGAATCATATATTGATTTTGCTGTGTATGGTTTCATTTGTTGGTTCATTGTTTCATTTGAAAAACCACTCTAGCTCAAGAGGCTTTAAGTATCTGTGCAAAGTGGTCTTTGTTTGTTTTGCTGTTTTTATCTCGATCTAAGGTTGTCTTATTGAAACAATTAAATTTTTATTTTCCATTAATTTTTTATTAAATTTAGAGATATCAGGGATAAAGATCACCTTTCAGACTTTGTACCTTTTATTTATTTATTTTTTATTTTATTAATGTCATGGATAACGTTCTGAACTTAATCTGCTCCATTTTCTAGTTCATTATCTACAATAAAACACATCAACAATTATTTTAAATATTAAAATTATTATATAATAATTGAAAAATTAACTTTTTTATATAGTCTGTGGTACAGACATCTTTTTACGAATTCTTAATATCTAATTAAATAGACAAAGTTTGCCGACCTCCATATTGAAAAAGTCCCAGTTGAGAGAATTTTCGTAAATAAAATATTTGTAGGTTACAATGAGATGAAGCTGTATACGAAGTTACAGCCGGATGTTAATAATTTGATAAAAAGGGGTATGTACCATGAACTAATATCAACGTGACAAGATCATCGATTTATTTTTTTCATTGCTTTGTTAATTTCATTAAGTTTATATCATTATTTTATTATTGTTTACATCCCCTTGCTTGATTATCTCTATTTTATAACTGCCTAAGTTTGTTCCATTATTTTATAAATTTCTAACTTTGTTATTGTTATGTTATAAATCCTAACTTTACTACCACTATTTTATAAGTTTCTGCTTTGTTATTGTTAATTTATATATCATTTCTCAATATTTATATTAAACATTTTCTCTTCTTTGCTGAACTCTGATGAAGGCTTGAAACTTAGACCAAAATGTCGGTATAAAGGAAATAAAAATAAATATAATTTATTTATTTTTACTTAAAATAAATCCCAACCAATTTATCTTCAATTATTTACTACAGTCAATCCATTATCATCTATTCATCATCATCACAGGTATTAAACCCGGTTCAAGTCTTCGCCGCATCAAGACGTTACCTCCATTCATCTTTGTCTTGTGCCAAGTTCTGACAAGCTCTAGTGTTGTGAAGCTTCTCTGGATTGGCTTTGACTTATCTGCCCATCTCAGTCGTAGCCATCCTCTCTTTCTTTTTCCTTCCAGATACCCAAACAGTAACGTCTTGGTTGGTGAGACATGCCCAGCCCATCCATCATAGCCTTGAGAGTCTTTTAATTGCACCACATCCGGCTCGTGGTAAAACTCCACGTTATGTCTCACTCTGTACTGGTTACCATTTTTTTACTGGACCAAACATCCTTCTTAAGATTTTTCTTTTGAAAACTTGTGAGTTGATGGTATCTATACATGATAAGGGCCATGTCAATACAGGTCTAATTGAGAGTTTGCAATCTTTGTGTATCTTGTCAGTCAACCAATTCTTAATATTTTTCTTATTTCCCAATGTTGCGAAAAAAAAGTACTTTCAAAATTCCTCTATGATCTGGCTATGATATCAATAGCATCTGCGTAGGCTAGAATTTGGACTGAATATCTGAGCATTGTCCCACTCACTTCAATGTATCATCATCTATTACAAAAATAAATGAAAAAGTTGAAAAATATCCAAATTCATAAAATTTGCACAATTACGATAACATAGATTTTTACATTTTCGATAATCATTTTTCAATAAGAGCATTGTCCTGTTTATAATTGTATGATTTTTTATTGTTGGTTTCGTATAGTACAGAGGGGGGAACTGCACATGTGTCTTAAGATAGCTGCATTCTTATAGAAATTAAGGATGAAAAAAAATAAATATTGATTTTATATTATTTATTTAATGAATAAATTATGATCTAGTCTAGTAGTGACCATATACATTTACAACAAAATCCATTCCGTGATTTCTTTGAGATTTAATGTGGAGGGTAACATTGCTTTGTCCAACTCCACCATTTCTGATGTAAACGCATCCTCCGGTGGAATCTGATCTTTGGTCCAAGACTTCGATATAACTGATTCTTCCCAGTGAAGGTTGTCCCTGTTGTGGGTAGGTTTTGTCTATGCTTGTCACTCGCATCCATTTAGACTTTAAATTTATTAGGTCGTGGTACAGAAGCCTGGAATATTAGTAGATTAGATTTAAAATTCTCAATTAAATCAAATTATAAAATGTTTTATTTTAGGTCTTATATTAAATTATAATACAATTTATTTTTTCATTTGATTATTCAGTTGTTGTCAAGAGCCTATGTTAAGTTATTTGTTCCCAATAAAAAAAAAAATTATTGGATTTAAAAATATTACATTTAATATAACTGATCTATGGGTATGTTTTTACCTATCATAATATGATCTTGCTCCATAGGTGTAGTTGTGAGTTTTATTTCCTTTCTCGCAGTCTGAGTTGATTACACCTGCCTCTACAGATACTAGCTGTAGAAGAAAAGCTGCTGAGACAGCAAGAACTAAAGCACTGTATATCCCTTTCATGGCTGACTGATGATTTGTCTTTCTCTCTATCGTACTTATACTATCTCTTATCTTTCCATTTTATTTGTTTTTTTCAAATTACTCATTTCTATTAAATATTGAATTCCATGAATAAATATCCATTAAAATGAATCATAGGTTGTTCCCATCATTTGTGGTTTTGTTTGTTCACCTGAAAAACCACTCTAGTTTAAGTGGCTTCAAGTATCTTAGCAAAGAAAGTGGGTGTCATTTATTTTTCAGTTTTATTTGAATCAATGTTGTTATTCTTCTGTTATATGAACATCTGTTAACAGCTTCATTTAGTTAGAAAAATGAACTCCTTTAGGTTATATTCCAATTTGAATACGATGAGAAGGAAATCTTATTAAGTTTTATTAGAAAAGTAAAAATGAGACGGGAATACTTTCCAATACATGGTTAGAGCATACCAGATTACATTTAACTACTTTCATATTATTAATTGAGTCAGTTGACAGAATGACTAACTGCATTTTCAATATTTTTGATAATTAATTTTAGGGCTATTTCTAGTGGGTAAATTTATACCTTTATTCACAGTTCTATATTTCAACACTGCAATCCCCTACTCTGGAATCAACTTACTGTCAGTTCAGATATTATAAATTTTCCAACTAGATAGAAATATCACTAAAATGATTTAACTTAAAAATGTTGAAATTGGACTTAGTCAACTGTCAACTGAAAGACTCAGTTTATTCCTCGTGTGAGTTCACTACTACTAAGTACTTTACTAAAGAGTTAGCTTTGGCAGAAAATACTATTACGGATCAGAAGAATTATCTTCGGTAGGTTTGGGCGAGCAACATACTGAACAATCCAATCAAATTTGGAAGATTTGAAACAACTGTCAAGATTGATGAGTCTTGCTTTTTTATGTGGAAGTACAAGGACAAAGGAGTGCTTCCTGTATGCTTGTCCCAGGCAGAGCCTCAGCAACTCTATTGAAATGCATTAAAGAAACAATTCTTCCAGGCGCAACTATTATGTCTGATTTAAGGAGACTATACAGGAATGTACAGACAATTCCCGGAATTGTCTACAGCACTACAAACACCTAACAGTGAACCATTCAGAGAATTTCATAGATCCTAGTATTGGAGCACACACTCTAAAGTGTATAGTCAATGTGTGCTGCTGCAAAGAAAAAAACCAAGAAGCTATGTGGCACAGCCAGAAATACGATGGACTCTGTCTACGTGTGACTTCGTCTATCTATGTGACTTTGTTTGACGAAGAAGACAGTAAGGAAAAGATTTATTTAAGACAATATTGCTGAATATCAGAGTTTTGGGCATGTGAATAACCTTAAAAAAAAATTGTTTTTTTATTCCTATACCGAAGTCGTTGGTCGTTTAGCCATCCGACATCTTGCTACCCAGTATAAATGACACTTCATCATATATTGAATAAAAAATTGTCCTTCAAGGTAGGACATATATCTAGGTGTTCTGCATCCATTCTTCCTTGATGACATAATTTACACCTAGGATCATCAGCCATGCCTATCTTGTGGAGATGACTCTTCAGGTTGTTGTTGCCAGTCACAAGACGGAAGTAGGCTACTGCACCTCTTCTCGGTAGTTCAGCTGGGATTGGGTTATCTCTCAAACACTCATAACGTTTCTCTTCCACCTTGTCCAAGTGTGTCTTTCTTATTTCTTTCTTCACTACCATCCTTACTATTCGCCGTATTGAATCGTAAAGTTTTAGATGGATCGGCTGAGGCAAATCTGTTCCTCGCTTGGTAAAACTATCAGCCTCAACATTTCCAGGAATCCCGCAATGGCTCGGAATACACTATAGGACCAGATTGATGCCTCAGAGTGTCAGGTTATAGAGGAGAGATTTGCACTTCAAAATAGCTCTTAGCAGACATTCATTCTTGTTAGTAATAGTGAGGATGGCTGCTTGAGAGTCGATGAAGAGAACTGCGCTCTAGTCTTGCCTTCCAGACCAAAATGAAATATGAATTAGGTTTATTATAATTAAAGCTTACAATATCATGTGTTTTTCTTTAATCACGTAAAATAACTGGTTATTATTAAAAAATAACTGTTGGAGCTAATATGCAAAATGTCCTCTTTTCTCCAACAATACATGTTGAATAAACAGTATGACAATCAATGAATGATTGGAAAGAGAAATAAATGAACATGGTACGATGCACTGAAAGCTCATTGTAACGATAAAATAAACTTGAGACTGAGAATTAAAGGGTATTTTTCTATATTGCAAGAATAACATATATAAATGCCTTAATTTTTTTACTAAATATTATGTAACTTCCACAATTCTCTATCTTTTTGTATCTTGTCCGTTCTAGTCCTGAAGACCTGCAAAGTCGGGTCGAAACGTTGGCTTATAATAAAATAGTTTCATCACTATTCAGCCTATTTATGACCGCCATCCCGGACTATCTCCTTCCTTTAATAACATATATAGTCTACTTAGTACACAAAAATTATTATTTTATAGGAAATATTTGCAACTCCTTTCTGTAATCAAGTTTTCCTCTGTTCCATGCTATCTGTGATATATATCTCTAAACCACTAATTCTGAAATGACAGAAGACATTGAAGTGGAAATTTTTTTTTAAGTAGCATAATGCACTGCAGATTGTTGTGTGCCCTAGTTAATCACTGTTACATTTCAGAACATTATTTTGACAGTGTCAGCAAACTAAAAGCGTTATCAAATTGACAAGCTCACAGTTCTTATAGTCAGGAGTTCTTATAGTCAGGCTATCTATCATTCCCAGATTACAATAACCTAGTCCTGCGAACCTATTGCAGCAACAGCTTATGTGATAAGCACGGCCATATTATCGGTTGCAGAATCTACACAAAGATCCAATACCAAGCCACCTTGATAGTCACAGTCCCGTTAGCCCGAGTTTGAATATGTGGTAGTTCAATTTGCAGTGACCTGTATGGATTGTTGTAACATTGCTAAGAAAAATCCTAGTCAAGTTAATCAGCAAGTTGCTTCTCCTGGCACAGGTTCCGTCCAAGAATAGCCTAGAATGAATTAGTCCATGGTACAGAACCTTTTTATGAAATTATTAACATCCGCCTAAAACTTTATGAATAGCTTCATCTCATCATAACCTACAATTTTTTTAATTAAGAGAAGATCGGCAAACTTTGTCTATTTAATTAGGTACTAAAAACTCATGAACCACTCATTTGCTTTCCAATTGAATCGTAAGATAATTTGATCATAAGATCAAGAATAAAGGAGGCCTACAAAAATATTGGGCCGTTTAAGAGTTTCCTCCACCCCTAATATGTCAAAATAATGAGGTTGTATAGGCAAAAGGGCCTAATATTTTTGTAGGCCACTTTTTTCTTTTATCAAATTATCTTATGATTCAAACTGAAAGCAATTGGGTATTCATGAGAATTTAGTAGCTAATTAAATTAATTTATTTAATTAGAAAACGCCCCATTTCTGCTGTTAAAAAATTTGTAGGTTATGATAAGATGAAGTCATTTATGAAGTTTTAGGCGGATGTTATTAACTTGATAAAAAGTGATCTGTACAATGGCCTTTTTTTTTGAAGTCCCAATATTTCCTAGCTTCTTCGTCATAAATCTTCCCAATTATTTTTTTTTTATAAACCTTATGCTAATACCACTTATTGGTTCAGGTGTTATAAAAAAATAACCATAAAAAAAAAAAGAATTATCAATTTCAAATTATTTATTTTTAATAAACATATGAAATTATGATCTTATATTTATTAGTGACCATATACATTTACAACGAAATTCATTCCATGATTTCTTTGAGATTTAATGTGGAGGGTAACAGAACTTTGTCCGATTCCACCATTTCTGATGTAAACGCATCCTCCGGTTCCATCTGATCTTTGGTCCAAGACTTCGATATAACTAATTCTTCCCAGTGAAGGTTGTCCCTGTTGTGGGTAGGTTTTGTCTATGCTTGTCACTCGCATCCATTTAGACTTTAAGTTTATTAGGTCATGGTACAAAAGCCTGGAATATTAGCAAATTATGTTTTGCATCATACTTTGCAATCAATTTATGAAAGGTTTTATTTTAAATCTTATGTTAAACTATAATACAATTTATTTTTTCTTATGATTACTAAATTGTTGTCAAGAGCCTATGTATTTTATTTTAAAATACTTAGTTTTATGTAACTGTCTTTTTACCTGTCGTAAGATGATCTTGTTCCAAAGAAGTAGTGGTGACTTTTACCACCCTTCTCACAATCAGCGTTGGTTACAGCAGCATCTACAGATACTAACTGTAGAAGAAAAGCTGCGGAGATAGCAAGAACTAAAGCACTGTATATCCCTTTCATTATTGACTGATGATTCATCTATCTCTCTACTGTACTTATACTATCTCTTATCTTTCCATTTTATTTGTTTTGTTTTTTTCATATTAATCAATATATATTGAATTCTAAAAATAGATTTCCATTGAAATGTATCATATATTATTCTCTATAATATTATACAATAATAATTAAATTTTTTATCATTATAATACTATACAGAAATAAAACTAATATTATATATCCATGTGTTGGTATTATTATTTATTAAAAAAATAAAAGTTGAGATATATCCAAATTAATTTAGTGAGTACGATTGCGATTACACTGATTTTTGCATTTTAAATAATTATTCAATATGAGCATTGTCCTGTTTATAATAATAGGATTTTTTATTGTTTATTTTTTTATTATATTTTTAATACTTTTATTCCAAATGTCAATAAAAATACTGAGACATTTAATATTTATAGCTCCTAATATTGTTCATATCATTCAATAATATTTTAAAAACAAGAAATACCATGTATTAGTATAATTAAATAGTTTCTCTGTACAAAAAATAATTCGCATGCTATAGTTCTTAGTCACTGAATACCTATGATGAATTATATTTATGACAGGTCAAACAAATTATTAATGCGTCTGTCAATTTTTCATGATGAACTATAATTTTATTTATTTCAATAATTGGTTTATTTTTCTAATTATATTCTTAAAACGATTTATTAGGAAACCATTTGTGCTGATAAAATTAATATAATTTGTGGTTTTTTTAAATATTTTTAAACCAATTAATGGTTTATTGTTGGCTTCTTTAAATAAATTTTGAAGTCAGTATTAGAGATGATTCTCTTTTTTTTTTATCAAAGAGGCTGTTTCAATATTTTTATTTGTATACCGAAGAAGGGTTGTTTGATTATTGTTAGATAACAAAAAAAATTGTATTACAAAAAGTTTTTAATTTTTTATAAGGTACCCAGGTGGGTACCCCCCCTGCCTACCTAACGACAGACGAACCTCCATTTACAAATTATACAACTGTTCATTTAATTGTACTACTCGTTGCTCAAATTGTATAACTGTAATAACATGTATTCTGTAGTTTAGATTGTATTATTTTTTATCAACATAAAATAAACAGAACGAAACTACAGTTCGGACATATTTTTAATTATTTTAAAAATCTATAATATACATCACCTGTTATTGCCAATTTATATTATTACATAATTATAATCATTCTTATTGCCAATTTGTAACCATAATATGGGAGAAATAATTCTGGGAATAAGAAGTGTGGTTTCTTCGTTACGGTCTGTCCCGCTTTGTATATGTAAAATAAAATTATTTATGATGGTCAGTTAAAACCTTTTTTATATAATAGAGAGATTTAAAATATTAAATATTCTCTAAATTATGCTAAATGTTTATTATTAAAGGTCAGTTATGATATATTACAACTATTTAAATGATCTGGGAAATGTGGAAAAGTGTGAATTTCTGAAAAAAATATTCCGTCATCTTCCCTGTGTTGGTCACAAATTATATACTGTTTGACATATGTACAAATAAACTTTTTTTCTTTTCTCGGCAATGTACTGTATTTATATGACAAATTAATGGGATTAAAGAAAAAACTTTAGGCAAACCATTTTATTGAAATAATTTAAACAACCTATAGTCTATAAAAAAATAGTTTTTATTTATAGCAGTGAAGATAATCTTCAAAATAATGACTTAATAATTGGATAAAGTATTTAGGAAGCTGTGGTGTATTGACAAATAATGAATAAGATGAAAAGATTAATAATAACTTTTAAGTCATTCTTGCTTGTTAAATGTGGTAAAATCTCTAGAAATTTTAGTTTGTATTTGTTGTCTATATAAGCAATTATATGGAATGCAGTATATCTAATTATAATAGTTATATTTCAGTTGTATTATAATTTTTATGTTATTAATTTTTTTTTCCTATCAGGGAGCTTGGAATCAAGGAATCACAATGGCTTCAAAAGCAAAGCGAGGATCACACAATATATGAGCAGATGCGTTCTCTGCGGGAGGAAAACCTGAGTTACAAGTAAGTATTATTTGTATATATAAATGTTGAGAAAAATTAACTTTAAAGTTTAAATAAATTTATAAAGAATAATAATTATAAATCTATCTTATAATAAATAGTCAGAGATCAGAAGACTATAGGGGTCGATCAGACCCTATGCATATAAATAATGATGTAGAGATGGTTGACCGTGATATAATATGAGAAGGAGTTGGTCGGGGGGTTAAATGAATACTAAATTTTTTAAAAATAGTATTTTTAATTGTTTTTCCTCATATTATATAACTCCTTCTCATATTATATCACGGTCAACCATCTCTACATCATTATGAATTCATTACCACGGGGTCAACAATAAGATACGAACCCACAATCCATACGTCCCAGTTCCAGACTCAATGTTCGATAAAAAAATCCACAACTGTCGGCGAAATAATTAAAAATACTATTTTTCAAAAATTTATGTTTTTCAGATCTTAAAATATTAATTTATTATTATAATTAATACTATATATATATTTATACATAATGTTAATCATTTAAATTCATTTACAGAGCTCAGAATGATGCCCTTAAAAAAGAAATTATTGATCAAGAAGCTTCCTTCAAGATACAAATTGCCAATGAAGAACAAAAAGCTCAAGAAAATTGGGTATTTTATAAAATATATAATTTATATTTTTATGATAAACCATCTTATTTTGGTTATTCATTTTTAGTAAGATCTTTGAGATGTACTTTTATACATACATTGATACATTATTTGATCCTTGTACTAATTGAATGTTACCAGATCAACCTAAGGCATACCGAGCGTAGGCTGAAAGAAGTGCAAATGGAAGCCGCTCACCTCAGGTCCAGGCTTACAGCGGTTGAAGCGAACCCTGATTCTCTAGAAGATAAGCATAAGAGTGCGATTTTTTATTCATATATTTTTATTTCTAGTTTTGATATCGAATGATTGACTACTTTATTATTATGATGCAGGCCTCGAAATGGTGAATGGAGATGTGAGCATGGGAGCTGCCTCCCCGCCATTCATGCTGTACCCGCCCCCTGATTACATCCCTCCTCCTCCCCTCGTCTCTCCGACGAGGCCTCCTCCACTCGGCAGGTTATCCTCCCCACCACTCACCCCTCCCGCTCCGCTCTCCCCTTTTGAATTCTATCCGCCACCCCCACCATCTCCGCCTCCTCCATTGAGGGTGCATAAGCCTCAACCCAGGGAGCCTCATCGCAAGCAGAAAGGTAATTGTCATCAGATAAATAATTTTAATTTTACATATTTTTTTTTAAGTTTTAAGTCTTTATCCCGCATATATTATTGCAGTAAGGCTTGAAATCGGTTTTGTACCAAATATAAGCTCCTGTCATGCTCAAATACCATGAATGGGGTACCGTTGAATTCAGAATTTCACGGTGGTTAGCGAGAATCGTATTCTCCACTTTTGTTTTTCTTTCTAAAATAAATAAAGTCGATACAAAAATTTTGCTAGGCTTCAATACTGGAACATTGGTAGGTCTGTAGATCGATACGGGACAAATTGGATCTTGAAGATTTTGATGCGTATAGCAAGACCCGGATAGTTCCTCCGGAACTATCGGATCCTGCATGTTTAAGCCCAAAAACGTACTATTTTTAAGATAACGCAAGGCATAGGATTCGCGAAAAATTAACAATGATATGGCTTGTCGATCAAAAACACCATCGATAAATAATATGAACTCCTCCTCTCTCGATCATAGAGACCTCAAGTCGACGAAATGAGACATGTATTCAATGACAGTACCACAATCAATATAGGGCTGTGTGGATGCGAACCATCCACACAGCCCTAAAGTAACATTTGATTTCTTTATCTTTTGATACCTTTCATTATTTTATTTTCTTATTAATTTGGCATTTGATAACAATCTGCTGTGCGAATTTGTTTTGTGCATTTTGTTCCAATGATAACCTAATTATAATATTTGGTCAAAATTTGAGTTTAAGCTCATTATTTATGTATTAAATATTACTATACCCTCCACTCAATATTATTATTCTATTTAATTAGTTTTTTTATTTTGACTTTAATTTTCTTTAATATGTTTATTATTTTCAGATTCACAATCTTCTAATCATTCCTCGGAGTCAACAGAAAAACCGATCAGAAGAGGAAAAAGATAGTGAAAATATATTGTGATTTATGAGAAAAGTACCATTTACCTTAGAATATGCTTTCACGCTTTTATCAGTTCGATAACTGTGTAATATTGTACAAAGTGTATTATAACTTACTAGTCCTTAATTGTTTTATTATAAATAAAATGAAATGGAGTTTAGGGAAATCGATTGTATTATCTAATTGTGATTTTTGTCTCAAATATTTTTTTGAGATTAAAAAAAAAGAGGATATCTTGTTGTTGTCGAGATATAAAGGATATGTTATGGCAACATTAATCTTTGATCGTGTATAGAAATCTATTTTATATATTGTTTGTTTGTACTGGTGTATTTACCGAAGGTCCTAACAGAGTGAAAAAGTAAGAAAATTATTGTTATTTTATCTTATATTCCATTATATAACAGTACATACCTGGGCACTGAATATATGTTGTTTATACTCATATATTGGTTTTAAAATGCTCCTATTATTCACATAAATGTTTATTTGTGTTAGCATAGCAATATATTGTATTGATAATTTTTGCCCATGTATTCCCAAGTTCACTTACTAAAAACATTGGTTGTGTTACTTGTGTGTTTTCTCTATTACCAAGTATTCATTCTTTTTTTCACAATTTATTTATTGGTTTATTATTTTTAATAATGAACCTTTATGAAACATCTCTGAAAAATACACTTCTTTTTACTCTATTCAATATTTGAGGTACTTTTAAAATTAGAAATAATATAATTTGTAAATCGAATAAAAAAATATCTTTTCCCAGTATGCGGTTTTTATCTGAGATTACTGGGCCATTTTTTTTTTTTTTTCTGATTTAGCCCTTAGGCAATTGGTCACAAGATGGTTCTCAAAACACAACATTATAATCTACCATTTTGTTTCAAAATGGCACCTGTTTATAGATTTTATACATATCATATTCCATCCAGTCTTTCTTCAAGACTGTTGAACTAATTTTTGTTTAGATTAGGCCATACTAAGTCCATTTATACAGATACAAAGGAAAAATTCTTAGTTTTTTGGAATCATAATGCTAAAGCGTGTGTGTTTTATTAAAAAAAACAACTTAATAATAATAAACTTTTGTGTAATAATTAAGCTAAAAAAGAATCTTTTTCGAAAGAATTATTATTTGTTTTTATTAAGACTTATCTTAGTTAACGTCCAGAATTTTATAATTAATTTATTTTTCGATAAACCAGATACTGGTAAAAAGTCAAAGAATTCAGACCATTAATCTCGGCAGTGAATCAATTTAGAAGATGATTTGATTAATCAGTGCTATGTTCCAACCATACAATGAATATACGATTGTTTCATGTTAAAATTTTGAGACTGTTCATGTTTGATTGCGCTGTTGTCCTTCTAAATATATGTGTAACTTATATGGATCATTTCTAAATTTATTGAAAAATATTGGGTTGGCAAATAAGTCCTTTCAGTTTTTCTGTTTATTTTTATGTCACTGTGATACACTTCTTATCTGATGAATTAATCCCTAACATGGATTGTTTATCCTGTTTGTAATGTGTCAATAACTATATCTGTTTACAACTCTTGTTGAAACTAGCTTAGTATTGTGTTTGCTATTGCACTGTGAATACGGAAGAAAATATTCATTATCGGCATATTTAGTTATATTATTCTACAATTTGCAGTGTTTATAAGGATGATGCCTCAACATTTCACCTGTTAAAATTGCTTTGCCAAATTCCATTCAGGAAATTTTGGCATCAATGATGCTTAACGGTCTGGTCGCCACATGAATTGGAAACGAGCAATATTAAGGCCATTGTTGATAAAAATCCCACCCAATCAGTGTGAGAGATTGCTATGGCCCTAAATGTGCCACACTCAGGCGTAGAAAACCATTTGAACAAGCTCGGCTATGTTTCCTGGCTTAATGTTTGGGTACATGATTTTTTTTTCGAAAATCACAAAAAAATATTATAACTTCTATACGACTTTAGCTATCTACAAGAAATTTAGCAGGAATTTAGGGCCACATAAAATACACAAAATAACATCAACAGGACCTTCGTAAACAAACTACAAATGGAGATAAAAACTTATAAGGAGGTTTTGTTTATTTATTCCTTATGTAGACATTAAATAAAAAAAATCATTCATACAGCTTTGAAGACCCATTATTCAGCTTTCCAACGGATATAGTAACATCGAATTTGGAGAAAGTCCTGAAGAGTTATGAATGATTGAAAGGATGTTATGTTCCACCATGACAACGCTAGGCCCCACACCTCATTGGTCACTCACAATAAATTATTGAGCGTTGGATGGGACCTTTTGCCCATTCTCCCTATTCACCAGATCTAGTTAGAAGTGACTACCACTTTTCAGACTCTGCAGTACTCCAGGAATGGAAAGAAATATCAAAAGGAAGAGGGCATCAAATACCATTTGGATCAGTTTTTTAACAATTAATCCCAGACATTCTATGAACATGACATTATGCAGTTTGTGGAAAGATGGGAAAAAGTCATATTAAATAATGGTCAATATATTGTAGATTAAAATAAATTTTATCTCTATAATACATTGATTTTTATTTGATACTAAAAAACCGAAAGGACTTATTTGCGTACTCAATAGAATGTTTTTTGACTTCTTAGCACTCTTTATAGTTGTAGAGAGCATATATGATCATAAAAAAAACCATAGATACATCATTTTGAAAAAGGAAAAGTAATATTATTTGAATATGGCCTGAATTAACTCCAGATTTTAATAATTTAATTTTATATATTGTTAGTAAATGTTCACTTTCATTATATTTGATTTAATTTTGAATATTGAATTGATCAGCATTCTGAAGTAACAAAATATTTAAAACTATATTGCCCTGCTTCAGACCGGCGATTGTTTATGACCTTATATCCTATACTTAAGGATTATTCTGAGAATTTTAAGCTATAGAGTGAGTATTTAATCTTTCATCGGCACAAAAGCTTATTTATTTAATAATATTAGTTTAAAATATTATAAAACTATGCTGGTAAGGTGAGGTAAAGCTAAAGGGGGATTTCACAAACTAGGGTACAAACATAGTTGATACATATTGGAATTTACAATGAGGAAATCAATAATAAGTTAAAATGAGTAACTGTACCTTAAAAAATTATGATTGTTTAGTAATATCTTTAATTTTCTTGTTTTACAAAATACTACATTTTTTCTTCCTGTCTATGCCCTTCCAAATTAACAATTTGAGATGAAAGAGAATATTGATTAAAAAAATAAATAATATAAAAATGTATGGATTTCATATTTTGTACATGTCAAATTTTTTTTTTTCATCTTATGCCATTCGTTGGTCATTTGGCCATCCAACATCTTGCTGCCCAGTATAATTTAGATTTTCTGATATGTATATTTGAAAATTTTTTGTCGCTTATGTCCCTCAAGGCAGGACATGCGTCTAGATGGTCTGCATCCATTGTTCCTAGATGACACAATTTACAAGTAGGACAAAAAAAAAAATATGTATACACATACCATATATGGCAATGTTACAGCAAAACCTACAATTTTAATTAAAAAGTAATTTATGTGGATAAAAGTGGATTTTTTAGGAAAATGAATCTTAAGTTTTATCCAAAACACCTGCTATGAAACAATTAAGATAAAGACACAAAAACAAATACTTTACACCATTACTTGAAGCCACTTGATCTAGAGTGTTATTTGTGTCGTTTTTTGAAACCATATGATTCTTAAAATTCACCCAATTTTTTTCAATGACATTTTAAAAAGTAGTAGTAATTTAAGATTCATCATACCTCCATGAAATTCTGCTTTAATTTCATAACTCTTGAGAGCCAGCCGAAAAGAGAGCTATTCTAGCTTACTATATACAAGGTTTCTTGTTAATAGAAGGAAGTATTTATAGGTGTGAAAGCTACTAAAAAAATATATAAAAATGGTCTGATTTTCGGCAAAAAAAGGGAAATTTCAATTTTGTGTTTTTTTATCTTAAAAATAATCTCTCTATTATATAAAAAGTTTTTAGTGAATTTCATATTTTGCTTTATTATTTTATTACGAGAGAAGGAGATAACAGTACAGTGCGATTATATTACAAACTAGTTGGCCAGTGCGAAAATTTCGCATAATATATTAGTCCGTGGTACAGACCCCTTTTTACCGAATTATTAACATCCGCCTGAAACTTTGTAAATAGTTTCATCTCATGTAACTTATAACTATTTTATTTACGAAAACTCTTGGAATTGGGTCGTTTTCAATCTGGTGGGGAGGCAAACTTTGTCTTTATAATTAGGTACGAAAAACTCGTAAATACCCATTTGCTTTCTACTTTTATCGTAGGATAATTTCTTCACTAAATTGAGAAAAAAGGTGTCCTACAAAAATATTGGACCGTTTGTTCTATATAACCTCGTTATTTTGAAAATTTGGGGGTGTAGTTCACGTCAAACGGCCCTATATTTTACCAGGCCACCTTTTTTTCTCGATTTTGTGAAGAAATCATCCTACAGTTAACGAATCGGAGACAGTGGAGACTTTATAAATAATGGATTTATTCATAATGTTACAAATGGCATCTAAAATATAATATAAGTAATATAGTATAGATATATGAGTTGACTACATCAGTTCACTCCAGGTCTCCTACAGTGAAGAGTCTGACTCAAGAATGATACTGTATGAGTGATTTTGGTGTGAGGATCATAGAGTTATATGCTCAGGGATAGTAGGGGGGATGAATCAATTCTGGTCGGTCTAGGAAGCGTGTGAATGAAGTTATAACTATTAAGAATTGATATCGTTATCTTTTAGAATTGATATGAAGTCTGTGAGAAAGTGCTCTTTTGCTGAAAAGGGTTATTGTTCCCTAAGTCTTGATAAGTGTCTTCTGTCCAGTCAGTACATTCTAGATAACTATTTCTAAGCTATCAGAGATAGCTTGACTTGGCTATCTAGGGCTTTGATAAAGGTCATAAGGAAGGTCAATGAATGATTTAAATGATTAAATTAAATAATAGTTAATATTAATAGTTGTTACGGATTAAGTCCATTCCGTAACTCTACGATAATTACGATAATACAAAGTAGAAAGCAAGTGGGTATTTACGAGTTTTTAGTACCTAATTAAATAGACAAAGTTTGCCCCCCTCCAGATTGAAAACGCCTCAATTCCAAGAGTTTCGTAAATAAAATAGTTGTAAGTTACGAAGAAATGAAACTATTTACGAAGTTTCAGACGGATGTTAATAATTCGATAAAAAGAGTTCTGTACCACGGACTATATTGTTCAGTGTTCAAATGACAAATTAATAAGAAAATAAAAGAATGCAACGTAAGATAAAGAAATTTTACTGAGCTGCTAGACGTTGCATATACTTGTTGTACATAACATTTCATTCTTCTACTCTCAATCATCCAAATCCACTCGTTGTATCTCAGTCTTCCTCTCTGTTACTTGGTGAGCCTCAACGACGACTAAAAAGGCAATGGCCTAGAGATCTTCTGCTGGCAAGTTAAGAAAAATTCAAGAAGATTGAATAAACGCCAACACATTTGCTTGATGCGTTATAACGTAGTGGCAAATTTAATGGAAAATAAAATAAATAATTTAAATTTAATATTTCCATCCACACCTGTCAAGCTTGAAAATAAGCAGATATGCTGTAACTAATAAGAAAATTGACATTTTAGGCATGAGGAAAAAAATAGTAGCCAGCAGTACCTCTTCCTGGTCTTGGTTTATTTCCTTAATAATATGGAGATTTCCTTAATAATATAATAATATGGATGGAAACACTAAGACAAAAATAAATAAATAAAAAATGTCCTACTTTCTGCTGAAAATCAGAGCAATGTTTTTTATAAACTTTTGTAGCTCTCGAGGTTCGCTATTACACCTGGGAATATTTACCTCAACTAACAGGACACTGCATATTGTAGATTAAGATTTTTTTCCCCAACCATCTTATCTTCATTTTATCAATTTCGTTCATCTATGACTACATGTAATATCTATTGATATCAATTGGGTAAAAGTGGATCTTTTTAATAAAAGTGAATCTTAAGTTTTATCCGAAACACCTGCTACGAAACAATTAAGATTAAGATAATTAAGACACAAAAAACAAATACTTTACACTAGAAGAAATCACCAAAGCACACATGACATGGTCATTATACGATTTAATGAATATTTATTTATATAATTTAATATCTGCATGAAATGGACAATTTGAAAAAGTAAATAAACAAAATGAGAAGATAAGAATGAGACTATAAATATGGTAGAAAGAAAGAAAAACCATCAATCAGCCATGAAAGGGATATACAGTGTTCTGTTTCTTGCTGTCTCCACAGCTTTCCTTCTGCAGCTATTTTCTGTAGATGCTGCTGTACTCGAGACTGAAAACGGGGATATCGATAAAGTTCACAACTTCATCTATGGAACGAAATCACCTTCCTCCAGGTAAAAGTATATTTATAATTAAGATAAATAAAATGGAATGCAATGTCTGATAATTTGTTTTTTTACTTTCCTACCGCTAAGTAATGTAAGTGGGTAACATTTTTATGTACGATTTTCAAAGGATCTGGTCTTTTCACAAAAAAAAAAAAAAAAAAACTCGGAAGTTTATATTGTGTATAAAATGCTGCGAATTATTACACAATGGTTTATTATTGTCAAACAATTATACATCAAATTTAACAGTACCTTTCTAGTTACAAAGAAAAAATAAATAAAAGATGATTCCTATTATATTGGCTTGAATAACTTTTTTTATTCATCATTAGTAATTTGCTAAAAAAATAGCATTACTTCAGTTACCTTTGCAAAAAGCATCTAGATACAATATCTTTGCTCCAAATTGTCCGATTTCAACGATTTTTTTTTTATTGATATTTCGTAAATTCTTAAATTACCAAATAGGATATCAACAAAAAAACGTATACAATTTAAGTTATTCGGAATAAAATTTTAGCATTTGACAAAACATTTTTATTCGATTTTCGAATTCTACGAATCCTGAAACATAAAACCTCAAATTTTGAAGGGGGTTAAGTTCTTGAATTTTTTGGTCGATTATAATGGTTCATTATTGAAAACAATAATCCAAAATAATTTTAAAGTCGCGTTATCTTTACTAATAGTGCTCTAATTTCAGTAAAACTTGTTTTGTTTTTTTTGTGATATTTAAATACCTTTGACACATCTAATCACAATGTCAACAATAGTATATACTTTTTAAGTTATTCGGATTCTAATTTTACCAGCCCTCGTAACATTTTTCAGCTTGTTGTTGTTGAAGTATGTTATATAGATAAATTTAAAGGGCATCGAGAAGAAGACTTTAGCCTAGTTTCATTGAAATCGGTACATTCGCTACAGTCTATAGGAACACAGGTTTTTCGGGCGCCATCTTGAAAGGAAAACGCGGATAGTAATGCCTAGTGTTGCCCAAAATCGGTCTTGGTCTTGCACTACGCAAGACAATGGCATATCTAACAGACAAGACCAGTACTGGTAAAAGATATCGATTTTTTATTATAAAATTAAGGCAAAATAGTTACTAATACTTGAATATCTTAGTTACTATATTTAATAATTGTGATAACCAATATACTTTTGCATTTAACTCCTCTAATTTTTCATTCGGGCTTAGTTAGGTTTCTCCTATCTAAAAAATTAGAGCAATATCTCTATAGTAATAAGCTAATGTCAAACTTCAAGACTGTTGCGAGACATTTGCACAAGATCAAGACCATGCCCAAGACTGAGTTTTCAAGACCAAGATTCGTCTCGGTCTCACATTTTGGTAAAACTAGTAATGCCGATGTACGAGGATCATCCTCGGATGACCTCTGACTTTAATTCAAAAATATCTCTACTTTTATTGAGGGTACCGGGTATCTACAGTATCGGGCTATCGCCCCCTGACATCTATGCTTATGGCTATAATGAAAATATTGCAATTAATATTAGTCGCCATGACTTATTACTTAACTATTGAACTGGAGTAATATTTTCCAGCTGGACAAGCTAATTCTTAATTAAAGTGTTACTTTGATAGTCGTAGTAAAGCACTAACTGATCCAGGATTTTATTATTTTTTTGGTGGAGGCTTTAGCCCGAAAGCCCATCCATAGATCCGCTTGTGTAGTGAAGTATGAATCTTCACTAATGGTATGTGCTGAATAGAATAATCTTGATGTTATATTGTATATTCGAATAAGCATATTGATCGCTATTGTGATATTTCTCGCTGGGGTAAATAGTAAATATTAATTTAGTTTAGTATAAAATATAAAATGAAACCTCATATAATTTGATTCAAAACATAATCTGCTAATATTCCAGACTTCTCTACCATGATGTTCTGAATGTCAAGTGGAGGCTGTTTCGGCAGACGTCCGTGGACGTAGTCTATCCACCGGAAGGGCAAGCTTCTCTGGGAAAAATCGATTACATCGAAGTCTTGGACCAAAGATCAGATGGAACCGGAGGATACGTGTACATGCGGGATGGTGGAATTGGAATGGATTTTGTTAATTTTCATATCGTATCACAAAGAAATCGTGGAATGGATTTTATTATAAATGTATATGGTCACTAATAGATTATATAACATCTATTAAAAACATCTCTATTGAAAATAAATAATATGAGATAGATAATTTTTTTTTTATCCTTTGTGAGATATGTGACGAAGTCGAGGACATCTGGCGATATCGTGTTTACCTTTTAGCAAAGAGAGGAGTGAATATATCGAGGATTGTCAACAATGTTCCTAATATAATAAAGGAACAGGTTCGTGAAGGACACAATCAACTTCAATCAAAATTATTTTATTTACGTATATATATATATATATATATATATATATATATATATATATATATATATATATATATATATATATACAACACAATAATTGGTATTATTGTTATTTTTTATGCTGCAATATATTTGTACAGTAGGAAAAAAAAACCTACATAAGTTATAAAAAGGAATAAATATCATAAAAACTATAATCTGATATTGAAATGTAGAAATAGGATAAAACTAACACAGTCACATCTATTATATCTTATAAATTATTATTCAATAATTGGTGTGGGAAGTGTGATGCTGCTTGTTTATAATATTTTTAATGTTATGGTGGGTTTTGTAATGTCAGGAGTATGTGTTTTGTCCGTTTGTGTGTGTACCGTCTCAGTGATTTTTCGTCATAGTTTCCTGTTGTTTGGATCTTGGGATTATCAGATATAGTTGTAAGCTCAAAGAATATCTGTTTTTTAATATAAATGTGTTGTTTTATTGTTGGAAGCTGCAATTCTGTTAACATGGTGGCTGTTTTTGTGCATCGTGGGTATTTGTTTATGATTCTCATGCATATGTTTTGAATCACTTCTAGTTTTCTATAGTTAGACTTACAAGTATAACTCCATACTGAGGAAGAATTGTAGGATGGATAACTGGTTTATATAAAATTTATTTATTTTTTGAGGATAATTGCGAGTATCTATTGAAATACGGCGACATTTTGCTAATAATATTTTTTTCTATATTGCATTTGTTGTTTACATGCTGAGTGAAATTTAGGGACACAATAAAAAGTTCTTTAAAAGAGTAAAATTACAGCTTTAATACTTAAACAAATATAAAATTCTGGTAAGATGTCTAAAATCTTAAAGAAAAAAAAATACTCAATTTTCTCTTTCATTTTAAAAGACCGCTAACCACGATATTTTCTGACTCCATGAAACTAACTAAAGTCACAAGTAATTAAAGACTTAGTCAAAGTAAACATTGCCATAAATACTAGGAATAAAAACAATCTTACAGTAATAATTAGGAGCGTTGGAATTAAGGATTCTATTCATGCACAAAAGCATTTTTGTAGCAACCTGGTATATACTCCAGAAAATTATTGATTTTGGAACGACAGAGGGGTGAAATAAAAAATAGAGTTATCTTTTTCATAAAATTTATTTTTAATATATTTGTTTTTAATAGATGTGATATAATATATTAGTGACCGTATACATTTATAACAAAATCCATTCCATGATTTCTTTGTGATTTGATATGTAGATTAACAAAGTTTAGTCCAATTCCACCATCCTTGATGTAGACGTATCCTCCGGTTCCATCTGATCTTTGGTCCAAGACTTCGATGTAATCGATTCTTCCCAGAGGAGCTTGTCCCTTTGGTGGATAGTTTACGTCCACGGTCGTCACTCGCCACAGTTTGGACTTGACATTCAGAAGATCGTGGTAGAGAAGCCTGGAATAGTAGCAGATTATGTTTTGAATTAAACTTTGGAATTTCAAATCAAATTATAAAAGGTTTTATTTTATTTGTATTAGTTGAGGTGCCTTGAGGATCGAGAATCATTCTCCTACATCTATCTATTCCATCTAGCAATAGTTCGATACATGTGATAATTCAATGACGTCAACCCGTTCGCGAGATAAGCATTGCCAAAGGCGCAGATTACAGGGGAGTAATCGACCCTCCTCTCCCTCCAATATTTCGAATAAAAATAATAAAATAAAAATTTATAACAATTAATCTGCATAAATGAATAAAATATGTAAACTAAAATCAATAAGACAATAGTAAAATTCATTTAAATAGGTAATCGATGCTCTATTTTCCCGTTATTTGAATTGTAGTTTATATTCAAAGATAGCTTATTAATGTTATGTTGCTTATAATTATTAATGTGCACTGTTCCATTTTTACGTGAAGATTACCCACGGTAAATTTGAAGCATTGAAGAATTTAGATTTTATTTCACTGCCTCAAATCTTTAAATAAAAAGAAAAATCTTTAATATATTCAATTTCTTTGTTAACATATTTTCAAATATATTCATGACCCATATTCCAAAAAAAAAAAACCATTATATCTTATACATATATATATATATATATATATATATATATATATATATATATATTTTCTTGTACTGCGTATTTCAGGATTAAGTGACCAAACTAAAAATATGAACTAAGGACCTCAAAACAAGAAAAAAATTTCCTTTGAAGATATATCCGCAAAGGCTTTCTTTAGGAGAAATTCACACCTACAGATTTTCATTGTTATGAATTATTTACGTTATATAAAACAAATAAAACCTAATTACTTGTTCTAACTACTTTAATAATAAAATGTAAACATTAACATTCATATTAAATGTTGTTCAAAGTGATGGTATGTCCGCAAACGACAATATTTTAATAGGTCCATATTTCTTGTCGTCTCAACTCAATGCGAGCACAGTTCTGGAATTTTATTTAATATGAAAGCTAATGTTTACATTTAATTAATAAAGTAGTTAGAAAAATAATTAATAACAACGACAATATTGAGGTGTTAATATCTCCTAAACAAAGCGTTTGCAAACATACCTTCAAAGGAACTTTTTTCTTGTTTTCAGTTTCTAAGGTCATATTTTCAGTTTGGCTACTTAACCCTGAAACACCTTGCATAGTATTATATTGTTAGTTTTGAAATAATTATGTTAATTGCCACTTATAACTTTTATACACAATATAAACTTCCGAGTCTTTTATAGGGGTGTGTGGTCTATGAACCCTAATGAATAATGAAATGTCTGCGCCTACGTTCATGGCATAGACCAATGGCAGAAAATCCGTTTTTCTGACTAAAAGAATACTGAAATGTAAAGATCCGTTTAAAATCGCACATTGAAAATTTTACCCAATTACATTGCTTAGCGGTTGAAAAGTAAAAAAAACAACTAATTATCAGACATTGCGTTGCATTTTATTCAACTCTATTTACCTGTCGCCATATGACCTCGTTCCATAGATGAAGTTGTGAACTTTATCGCCTGCCGCGACCTCAGTCTTGAGTACAGCAGCCTCTACAGAAACCAGCTGTAGAAGGAAAGCTGTAGAGACAGCGAGAACTAAAGCACTGTATATTCCTTTCATGGCTGACTGATGGTTTCTCTTTCTCTCTACCATATTTATAGTCATATTCTTATCTTAACATTTTATTTATTTACTTTTTTAAAATTTTCCATTTCATATAGATATTGAATTCTATAAATAAATATCCATTAAAATGAATCGTATAGTGACGATTTGTTCGTCTGAAAAACACTCTAGTTCAAGAGGTTTCAAGTAATGGTGTAAAGTATTTGTTTTTGTGTTTTTATCTTGATTATTTCTTAGCAGGTATTTCGGATAAAACTTAACATTCATTTTTCCTAAAATATCCACTTTTACCCACAATCATCAATGTCAATAGCTATTACGTACGATCGTAGAAAAATGAAAGTGATAAAATGAAGATAAGATGGATGGGAAAAAAATCAACACTACATAATGTATATGAATACAGTTAAGTAACAGTTTTACTCTTACGAATAATTTTATCTTTTATTTTTATGACGTTTCGGTATCACTTTATTATCCCATCTTCAGACTAGAAACAAGAACACATTTTTTTTATTTGTTTTTATATATTATCATTTTAATATTTTTATAGCTTATAACATCAATAACAGATTTGCCAATCTTACCCGTATCTCGTCCTTCTATCATGTAATTTTTTTTTAATTTGTCATTTTTTTTTAGATTTTTCATAATTTTTATTTTTATAAATCATCCCTAAAATGGAATCATTTTTCTATTATATTATTATTTCTTATGTAAGTAGTGAGGTTCTGTAGTGTATTTATTTACCTTAATTATATTGTGGTCTCCTCGAGAGAGAGCCTAGTCAGACACTGAACCAAACCTTGCACCGAGGGTCAAATTCCAAGCTGTTTTATTTATTTTTATATATTTAATTTGTTAATTATATAAGCGTAATGGTTCCCTATTTTAGCTGCATCTGTTTTATAATTTATTACTTTGTTAATATGGTTAGTGATGAATATGGATTTTATTATTTTTCTGTATGTACTATTTGATTCTTTATGTAATAGTTAAGGTTGTGTTAAATTGAATGTATGTCGATTTACAATGCTATGGTGGACTAGGGCTGTTTTATTGTCTAATATCTTTTGAATCATTAAAATGTTGGTTCATTCTTTTTTCTATATTTTGTCTCGATTCACCTATGTATATCGATTCGCAATTGCTACATTCTACATTATAAACATCTTTTTGCTTTAACCTATTTATTTTATCTTTTACATGACATAGATGGTTATTAGTTTTGTTTTGATTATTTAACCCTGTATTTATCTTACAGTTATTTTCACTAAATATTTTTTTTAAGTTTTATTTGATAAAGTAGGGATATAATTTAATCTATAATATTTTTTATTTTTTTCTTCTATAAATTTCAGAGATTGTTTTGTATCGGTTTTACCGAAACATATATGTATATATATTGTATAATTTTAATTGCGTCTATTGGTATGTATTAATATTGTATATGATGAGTGATATAGAAAAGATTATTTAAATATATAAATATTTGATTAAGTTTAATTAAGTACTATGTAAAAAAAAAAAAGCATTGATGAGTATGCAGTGTATCGAGAAACCTTATGTAGTAGGGCAGCACTGCTTTAAATAAAGTATTTTGGATGTTGGTTATGGAAATTTAGGAGTCTATTACTAAAAGATCCAATTTTACTCACAATCATCAATGTTAATAGATATTATATACAATCGAAGAATAAGAAAAGTGATAAAACAAAGATAAGATGGTTGGGAAAAACACTTACACTATATACGGTAGTAGTCTGTGTTAAAGACCCTTTTTATTAATTATTAACATCCGCCTTAAACTTAGTAAATAATTTCATCTCATCGTAACCTACAACTATTTTATTTACGAAAACTCTTGGAATTGGTGCGTTTTCGATCTGGAGGGGGAGCAAACTTTTATCTATTTAATAAATTATTGAAAACTCGTTAATACCCATTTCCTTTGTACTTGGATCGAAAGATAATTTGATCACAATATCGATAAAAAAGGTGGCCTACAAAAATATTGCGCCGTTTCGAGTGACCTACAACCCCAAATTTTCAAAATAACGAGGTTATACAGGACAAACGGCCCAATATTTTTGTAGGCCACATTTTTTCTCGACTTTGTTATAAAATTATCTTACGATCGAAGTAGGAAGTTAATGTGCATTTACGAGATTTTAGTATTTAATTAAAAAGATAATGTTTGCCCTCCTCCAGATCGAAAACGCCCCAATTCCAAAAGTTTTCGTAAATAAAATAGTTGTAGGTTATGCCAAGGCTATTAAGTACATAGGTGTAACTCTCGATAATAAACACCTAATTAATTCAAAGTTAGAAAAATAACATATGCTAAAATCCCACTTTCCGGCAGTTATTGTGTTCATTATTCCTAATTTTGGAGTTTTGAGGTTTTCATTTTCATAAATTAATGCTTTACTAATCTCTGCCGGACTAAGACCCCTCCATAGATGTCGAAGGGGAAACCCTAGAATATCAGGACGGTTTAATTCTTCTCAGATTGAGGAAATATGATATTGATTATGAATATTTAGTTGGAGGACTTAATTAAGACTTGAAAATGGCCCTAGTTTTAGCCGAAACGTTATCAAGAGAAAATAAATTAGTGGAATATGGCCTCAATTTATAAAAATGAAAGCCATAATTTTTTTTCCTTATGCCTTTCAAGTTTTTTTCTACGAAGCATATTCGAGAGGTCTTCGGTGTATTCTGTATTAGTTCTGGATTTAATAAAAAAAAAAGAAAGGCATACAACGAACTGATGTTTTCCCCCTCCAAATGTGAATGAGAACCCTTCTAGGAAATTCTAAATTTGAGTTTCGTAAAAGTGAATTGTTGATGATCAAAACCTATTTGGTCCAATTAAAAAATATAATATTTTCATTTCAAAAAATGAAGTTTATAAGTTCTTTTTTCAATGGATTAAAGGATAATCGATTGAAAAAACATTGGATTCCAACGAAAAAATTAATAAAGAGAAATCTAATTGTTTAGAAATGCTGCAGTGGGTTGCTATGTAACAGTACCACCCCATTACCGCAAATACCCGTATTGCCTTGGAAACAGGGGGAGCGTTGAAAATAAAATGAAATAGTTTCTTAAATCTTGATATGAAGGTTATTATTGTGTCCCTTCGGTGCTTTCAGATAACTAGTTATTAACGATCGCAGTTAGCCTTTTTTTTTTTTTTTGAGTAATGGACATTTTCAATATATAACTTACCAATTATAACATTTAATAAACTCAATTTTTCAATTATTATTATTAATATATTTATTTTGTATATGTTGTATATATTGTATATATGTATGACTGTGTTTTTATGTTTTTGATTTGCTTATATTTAGGTTGTTTTATTTTTTTATTGTACATAGTTTTTATTTATTATTATTTAGTTATTATTTTACTTTTGTTATTTTTATATTTTTTGTATATATCGTGTGAATGTGTTCATTTATCACTATAATTATTGTCCTCGAGACAGAATATTATATGTCTAAATAAATAAATAAAAATAAATATATATATATTTATTGAAATTTACAACTGTATAATAATAATATAATAAGCTTTATTGATATAAATTAATTTGACAAAAGCCTCTCCCTAGGAATTTTATCGGAGTTGGCTACAGCACAGAAAAATATGTTTAAATTATTGAACTTTTTTTTAATGTTTAAAATAAAAGAAAACAGATATGAATTTTTTTTTTTTTTTTATAAAATAACAATATAAGGCCGAAAAACAAAACAAAAGCCATACAGTAAACAGAACGGTCTTGGAAGCCCTCGGTTAATAAAAACGTCTGCCAGGTAAAGTCAGTATAGCTTCCTCACCGTTTTCATTTGCTAAAAAATATCTGTATTAAAAGGTCTAAAAATTTTCTTACGAAAATAAAATCTCTGGAAGAAGCCGTTTTCGGAAATTCAATAATCCCTCAACATATACGGGCTTTATATCAACGAGTTTTATTTATCAGCAAATACTAAAATGCAAAAAAGTTCCGCATTTGAAGATTGTATATTTGATAATTCGTAATTTAAAAAAAAAAAAAAAAAAGCCAGTGCATACTGCTCGCTACTTTTAGAGCAAATGACGTATATAAAAATTGAGTGTTTTAAAAAATAATTGTATTGCCTTGGAAGCAGGGGAGGGTTGAAAATAAAATAAAATAGTTTCTTAACTCTTGATAAAGTGTCCTTTCAGATAACTAGTTATAAACTATCACAGCTAGCCTTATTTTTTTGAGTTATGGACATTGTCAATATATGACTCACCAATTGGCGCATTCAATAAACTCATTTTTTTTTATTATTAATATGTTTATTGAAATTTACAACTTTATAATAATGATAATATAGTGCCTTTCAATAATATAGTCGCCATTCAAGATCAGGCCATTGCCACTAGGATGCACGTTCTAAAAGACAGTACAACATCTGATAAATGTCGACTTTGTTCGAATCAATCCAACATATCATAGCTGGATGTGGAGTACTAGCTGGTACGGAGTACCTGCAAAGGCACAACAATGTGGCAAAAATATTCGACCAGGATCTGGCTATGAAACTTAACCTGTTGGATGAAAAGGTGCCATATTACAAATATAATCCGATAAGGCTGCTTCAGAAGGATTACCTCAAGATGTATTGGGACGAATCGATAATAGCGGATCACAACAGACCCGATATACTTATTATGGATTTAGGAGCAAAGAAGGCTTTGAAATTGATATCGATCCGTGGTTAGCTATCAATATAGATAGATAGCTAATAGATATCGCGATTCCAAATGATAACAATATAAGCACAACCGTGGGAGGGAAGCTCCGCAAGTACCAAGAATTGGCGATCGAAATAAAGGTTATAATAACAACCAATGGTCTGATCCCAAAGTCAACGGTGGCAGGTACGGACGGCTTGGAATTGCCCCTTGATGTGTTAAGAGAGGCTCAGCAAGCGGTTCTCTTGGATACAGCCAGAATTAAAAGAAAGTTTTTAAATATCTAAAAATGTTATAACTGCAGGTGGTAGGACTTGTCCCCCACCTTCAGCTTTGAATCCGCAAAAGCGAGAATAAAAAAGATAATAATAATATCATAAGCTTTATAGAAATTAATTAATTTGACAAATGTTTCTCCCTAAG